AGGTACGTACTTTTTAAATGTGACTGATCCGTTTATTTATTTAACTTGTGAAAATGACGAGAAAATGTAAATTCTACATGTCAGTTGTGCAAGTATATCACCTTTACCTTTAGACGATGTTTCAAGTGTTTAATACACCAGTTTTCATGGGATCTACTTATTTTTCACAAAGCTGTAGTTCATGTGCTGATAGTGAAATCCATTTGTAGAATAAAGCTGAATAAGGAATGGAAATTCACAGAAACTCTTTATTCTATTTCACATCTAAAACTTGAAGTTGCAACATTTCCAAAGTCTTTGTAAAATGTTCACATTATGGGTGATGCCAATATTAGATAGAAAGGTGAAGAGGCACAGTTTTAAAAGCACCTTTCTCAGAATTTTACCTGTGATAATTGCTTAAAAATGACATAAATGTATCTTTTCACAGCCTCTTCACCCCACTTCAGAATGGCACAATAACCATCTTCATTTTATATAGCCTCTTTTAAGACAGCATTGCAAGGTGCAACCACTAAAGCTATAGTGAATGAAATGCAATATGACAACATAAAGGATGGACCTGACATAAATTCAGGGCTGCCTAAGAAACAAATAAAAGACATAGATTGGTAAACTCATCATAGATAAATGAATAAAAGTCTGTCTTTTATAAAAACACATTAATGTCAGACCTGACATTGATTTTACCTACTATAGCCCCTCAATTATCTCTTGAAAAAAAGACAACAAGACGGTGCAGTAAAGCCATTAGACGCTAGGCAATGTACGCTATAAAATCCAGTATTAAATCTCTTCAGGATTTGTTATGGTAGGACAGTAGGAAGAAATGGAAAGTAGAGAAGACCCAGAAGACATCATCACATCACACAATTTTAATATCGTAATAAATGGCTGAGGGGTAATCATTTTCAGAATTTACACTGATTGATTTCTCAATCATTTTTATCCCATGTGAGACGTTTAGCAACCTAAGGTCCTCTGGCTTGTTTAATCTGTCCGTTACAAAACTTTGATTACAAAATAAAATGCAATCAACCCTTTGAGGTTGTCTAAGAAAATTTCTACCTTGTTCAACAGCTGTGCTTCTGCTACTTGAGTGTTTTTTTTTTTTGTTTTGTTTTTTACATTTTCAGCTGTCTTTCTTTCCTGTGTCTTTGCAAGTTGCTTAGCTCGATAAAAAACATTGACATTCTGGAAAATGCCCATTTCGGGTCTGAAAAGGTCAGAAAATGTTGAAAAATGCCTGTCATGTTTGCCAAAAAAAAAATCTGTGAGATCTTCACAGGGCGTCTTTAGTTTAACCAGCACTTACCAAAAACCCAAATTTATCTCTTTACCATCACTTCAACCAAAGAAAGCAGCAAATCTCTGAAATTTAGATGCTGAAACATAGTAATGTTTAGCTTTTTTATTTTGAAAAACATCATATATAATTCGTGGATCAAAATAATGTTGACTAATTGTTCCTCAATCCACCAATCGATTAATCAGCTATTAGTTTCAGCTCTACTTATTTGATCCTTCATGGGAAACAGTGAACCATTTGTGTCTTTTTTTTATTTATTTACCTACACTTTAGAACTACTGTCTTGTTCAGTATTACACTGCTGCTGATTATGTTTAATGGTGTGATTACAATATACCACCAAACAATGCAACAACCACTGATTGCAAAATATATCACTTTTAGCAACACAAACAGCCCATAATCCATGGCACGTCCAACAGTGTGCATTTCCTCTGATTGGCCCCAAAATACAGACAGATAATAGGCTATCATGGTGCAAGCAGAAAGCCTTCCAATAATTCCATATTTAGGCAGAGTAAGACATCTATCTCTGGATGGCTATTCTCGTCAAAACCACCGGAGCAATGAGTCAGTGAATGCCCTGAAATTTGACAGTCTACTACTGGTTTTCCCCTTTCCCAAGCATATATCTAATCAGGTAGCAAAGTGACTGCGTAGTCCTCTCACGCGGTGAACCTCTAATAGGGTTGAATGATATCTGAGGCGAGTTTCACACATTAAGAGAGGTGGACTAAGCTGATAGCTTCAGTCAACGGTGGAAAATGCAGGGAGCCGGGGTTATTCTTTGAGGGAAGGAAAGGGTAGGAGGAAAGATGTGTTAACACATGACCGAGTGCTTTAGGTGGAGGAGGAAGACGGGCAAGGATCTGGGCTCATTATTTCAATACGAGAGAGAGATGTCGTCTAGCGGAGGAAAGGGCTTTTGAATTAGGTTAAGCTCAGCACACAAAGTGGGGTTGAGACTAGGAATGTGGACCATCATTGCATTATGAAATAGTGCACTGAAATTTTACAGCTCTGTTTTCATTGAAATGTAATATTGTTATTGCTGCATTATGATTTGTTGTTGTTGATGTTTTTTTTTTTTTTTTTTTTTTTTACAGCTTAAGGCACAAGAGCGACATTTTATTTATGCAGGAAGGTTGGTTGTCTTGGTGAGCATAATAAACACCACCTTCTGTTTATCTACAAGGCTCCCTGACACAAACCTTTACCTTGCCGTGCATAAATTAACTAAATAGAGAACGAGATCCGAGGAACTGCAAATTCTTTAGGAAACACTTCCCTTGGGTTCTATGTGCCCACTAAACAGAATTAATTGCACAAGTGCTGAAGTTAGACTCTCTAATAACCCTTGACGATGTAAATAGAGACTTCAGTAACAAGCGCAGTTACGCTTGTAACAAAACTGATTATATGGCTGCTTGTCTTAATATTCACATGTGTACTTTCCTGTTGTTGTCTGTCTGCAATGGATTATGTTGTCAGCGAGGTTTATTTTCATTAACTCGAGGTCTAGATGTGAGCGCAAGATGTTTAACACATGATCCCTTATATAAATTACAGCCCGCTCCCATTACAGGGTTACATATTGTTATTGGAGCCGTTCAAATCTAAACCAAATATTGTGTTACATTAAGCAGCTCCAAACAAAAGAAAGTCAGGCGTTGGTCAATCAAGCAGAACAATCCGAATTAGCACAGCCATCCTAATTCATATCGTGTTTTCCCCAGCAAGGAGCTCTGTCTGTCTTGTGCATCATAAGAGAAAAGAATCAGTGACCTAATTAAAGGAGGACAGATAGACCTGCAGTCAGCAGAATGCTTGATTGCTGCTGTTGCATATTACACAGCTTCAGGTGCTTCACAGCATCAGGCCTGTGTGAGTGTCATTACTGAACGTGACCCAAAATGCTCTTTGACACGCGCTGCATTCTCGGTGTGATGTCTGACAAACATCCCGTGGCTCTCTCTTGATCTAAGTCTTTCAGAAAAGTAAACCAAAAACATCCACTGTAGCTGGTCTAAGTTTGGACAGGGAGACACAAATACTATTGAGGCTACATAAGACAGATTTTTTTTTTAAAATATATCAGACACCTACAACCAGCAGCTGCTGGATTTGGACAGAAAAATACTGGATTTTTCTTTTTTTTTTTAAGACTACATTTTTCAAATATTAAAAAAAATAAGAATAATTTCATTATAATTAAACCAAGGAACTGCAGGATCACCAATACACAAACAGATGCATCGATGACAAATGAGTTTGTGATATTTATCACATCCACAAACATAATAATCTCCTTGGAGACAGGCCTCTCTTTAACAGATGCTGTCAAAATGGCAGCCAAGCAAATCTATGTTAAATTTTTTTTCCAGTGTAGACATACAGATAACTGCCTACACTGACCATTCCCCCACCTGCTCAGCGGGCTCCTTAGAGACACCTCTCTGAGCTGCAGCACTGAGTCAACATATTGTCAACCACTCCAGCCTACTTCCACCCTTTACATCACAATGAGCACCGAGATCTAAACAAAGAGTTTGCACAGAATGCTTAACAGCCATTTGGATGTTGAGAGTAAAGCCTATATATGCCTCCAGTCCACAGCCACACGAGCAGACTCAGACAGCAAAATGACTACTGAGGGATGCTTTAATTGTCTGATATCTGCAATTATTTGGGAGGCAGACCACTTATGATTAACCATACAGTTAATCACCAGTGTGGATTTACAAAAGGATTAATCTGTGTGATTATCACCCCCCCCCCCACACACACACACACACACACACTTCCTCATTACAAAGAGTACATTGCACATCTGTGGTGCCACAAATCCAAAACAAGCTACTATTTTCGGTTTAGGTCAAAGCTTGTGGCACCTTCAGTAGTTTTCGGTTTCACATCAAGGTCATCTGCAACCCAGGACGTCTCTTCTGTAAGTAAGAGCCAGGGCTTTCACTCATGAATCCGCATGATTGACGTATCCTGGGGTGCACTGGCCTGCTGGATACTCCTTTTCTTCCAGAGCCGCTGGATTTACTCTGGATTTTTTAGACTGCGGCTGACAAACCAGCACTGTTGCCCCCCCTACAAAAATAAACCAACAGCATCCAATGTGCTCAAATAACCACGGAAAATAGGAGGTAAAACCCGAGAGGTGAACACTTAGTTTATCTGTCATCCATCATGCCAAAGCATGTGATTTGTCATTGCGCCCTGCAGTGAGGCAGACACATGCGGCTACAGAATAATAATTATGTGTACAGCCCGGCCGAGGATCCGTCATGGGATAATGTGATTGCATTGATTATTTTCCCGGAGAGGTATCCGAATAGGTAACGTTTGCTTATTACTTCGCCTTGGCGACATCTCACATCCGAGCGACGCCCATGCAGCCACAAGCCACTGGACACATCATCTGTACAGATACGGCAACTATATTACATTTTTTAACCCCCTCTCTCGTCCATTAAGGCCAGTTTCCGCGCCCCTTAAGTACAATAATCGCAGGCCACATTCCCATGGGCATCCGTGAGAACCAAAGTCAGCGCTGCCGTAGCTTTCAGAGCATCTCGGTGACAGACAGCGGACTTGACATGCAGTAGAGGTTTAACGACCAGGGGTGTCTGAACATTTCGACAGCATTTTTTTTATGAGGGAATAAAGAGCGGATTCTTACCGTCTCACCAGTCGCAGCGATGTACAGGCGCATAAATACACATCCAGCGCAGAGGGGGAGTCAGGAATAACCTCTTCTTTTTTTTTTCCTCCTGCGCTCTTTCATACAGTCACCAGAATCTTATGAGGGATAAATTTCACAAGCTCGGTCGCATGCCTCGACTCCGGCTCATGTAGTTAGCCTAATTCTCGCTGCTGCAGAACGACGTGGGTAAATCTTCCCGAAAGAGGGAGATGGAAATAAAGCGGCGGGTGTAATAAACCAATAGCTGCGTGCTTAGTATCCCGATCAGCGCTCACACAGGAGGTGGTAACGCGTCCGTCCAAATGCACAAGTCCAGTTGGAGTGCCGGAGGAGGACAGAGGCGTGTATCGCTCTCTCTCTCTCTCTCTCTCTCTCTCTCTCTCTCTATACGTCTGTCTGTATCCCTTCCTTCCTCCCTCCCTCCCTTTTTTCCCTGCCTCTCCTTTTATCGTTCTCGTCTGCCTTTATGTTCTTACTGACTTCTGCTGAAGTCCACGGGCGCAGAGCGCAGTGGAGCAGAGGACCATGGTCAACACGGAGAGAGGGAGAGAGAGGGGTCAGAAATGACAAACCAATTTGGAGGCGCGGTGAATGCTCGGTTGATCAGAGCGCAGCCCGGCGAGAGGAGCGTTGCGTTGCAGGCGGGCGGGGAGCAGAGGGTGGGTGGAGGGCTGGGGGAGAGGGTGATGATTCCTGCCTGGGGGATGCTGGGAGAGAAGGAGATGAAGTTGGGGAGGGGGGGTGTCTGGTGGAAAACGCGGAACTGGATCTGGCTCCTAAATCTCTGGACCGAGGGCTCCACCTGCCGTGTGAAAACGCGCAGGAGCTGCCAAACTTTTTCCACGGCGAGGACGGAGCACATCAACATCAGACAGCCTCGCTGGTGGTGATTAGAGCTCAAGGAGCTCCAGTTGTTAGTAGTTACACATGACTTGGTGGATGATTGCGTCGCACATTGAGCCACAACTGTTGTGTGCAGCCGACACTTTGAACAGCTCTGTTCACTCACACTTGAATCTAGAGGAAGAAAAGTGAAATCACCGTTTGTGTTTGATTAGTTAAGCTCTGGAACCTAGTCGGTGGTTACAGCCCTCAGCCGAATGTGCGACACAGAAAGTCAGAACTTAAAGGCAGAATATACGTAACATGTCTGAATTAAAATGGCTAAAAATGACTAAACCATAGTTTTATATTTTGGTCACCTGTGTACTTACATTATCCGAAAAGTCTACAACAATGCCTAAGCGCAGACAAACTCGGTGTAAATGTGTGTGTCGCCTGTCAATGGCGTCCCAAGCCGAGACCACGTGTCGCCGTGGAAAGGAGTAGGTGAGCTAGCTAGCTACTGTCTTATTTTTTCACTCTTTTGCTCACTGGTGATGTTTCACGTCATTTTAGTATATATTTTAGTATATATTTTTGACCACAGATAATAGTGTTGGACTACTCCATGACTGAATTCACCATGTAATGTTAGCCACAGTAGCTGTATGTATTGGGCTCATCAAAAGGTAAGTTAGCTGTTAGCATTACGTTAGCTAGCCTCAATCACAGCTATTTCATTGGACTGAAATGACAATGTAAATATACGTAACTGCACGTAATTTAGGTCTGGGTGGTATAATTGAAAAACGTTTGATATTAGTCAATATCTATATAATTTTTTATTATCTATTTTTATATACGCATTAATTTGAAGTACCGCTTCAGCCTATCCAAATACACAGGTAGTCATTTTAATAATAACACAACAGTAGAAAGCTCTCAAATGAATAAATGTACACCTATAAATAAAAATAAATAAGGATAAAGGAGTGGTCTTGCATTGATACAGGATTAGTAAAGGAAGCAGACAACACCCAGAGGTGCACAGAGGTCAACCAGGGTGAAGCTGCCACACTGCACTGAGGTTGTTTTCTAATGGCTGGGTTGGACCGAGTATCACTGATTGGAGACCCCACATGGATATCTCCACACCCCGACAGAAAGTCTGTCAGCCCTCAAAGCAGGCCACCAGTAGAGCATTGCTTTGGTGGATGTGGGTCTTGGATCTTTTTCAACTGTTAATGCAGTGTGAACAACCAATAGTCTGGACCCTCCACCTAGGGTCTATGGTGCCAACAGGGGCAAAGAGAGGTCCAGGGGTCCGTAGACTAGCAAGTCTGATGCATTTAAATGAAAAAATCCAACATTTTATAGAAACCGTGTGCTTATTGTGCTGATTTAGTGTCCATCACTATCATTTTATCACACAGGTCTAATGCAATGTAAATAAAACTTCAATAACCTCATCCATAAAACGATTTTAGCCTGAGGTAATGGTGTATGAGGACAGCAATTGTAATGACCCCACGCTGCTTTACAATATCATCAAACTATGCCTTTTGTTATTGTTTTGATTGAGAGACTCCTAAGTGCAGAAATGCATTTAAATATTTAAATGTGGATGGTAAAGCCTTTAGCAGTTCAGTTTGGTCTACCGTCTACTGGGAAATACCCATGGAGATGACCACAAATCAAAAGAAGCATGAGCTGAAAATATTAGTAGAAAAAAATGCAATTAACTCAATTAATGTAAATAAATTCATTTTCAGTTAATGTGATAGAGAAAATAGCCCGTGTTTTTCATTAAAGTCAATCTGCATAGGGAAATAATCTAGAAATACTTAAGTTATATAATAAATACATACATTAAAGCGTGTACTATCTTTCATGGCAATGTATTTGTAGCTCAACCTAGAAAGTAATATTTTTTAACTATATATTTGTACATTTAAAAGCAAATTGTTACTGCATTGTCACAGAACACCCTCTTCTCTTAAGAGGGTATAGTATTGGGGAAAGGCACTTTGGCTACTTTAATCAGCTGTTCCTATAAAAATCATAAGCATTATTTGCAGTGTGCCCCCGCTGAAATGTGTTCCAGGATTACCGTAGGCTGGTCCTTTTCATTAGGGATGAGCCCTTTGTGCCTGAAGATCAGAGGGTGACATGCGCACTGCTCGGAGCGCTCACAAGCCGCGGACATAGTGCTGGAAAATAAAAACGCTCGGCTTGCTTCTTGGTACCGTGCCGTCTCTCAATAAGCTGTTATGACTTTTCCCATCGGGAAAGTGTCAGTCTTGCTTTTCGGTCAAGGTAAATTTACCCTGCGGACTGGAGAGGCTGCCGGTCGTGCTTTCCCCGGGCTCAGTGGGAACCTGTTGATCGTCCACCGGCGCTGCAATGGAGGTGAGATGAAGCTTTCAGCACCCTGCGATTCTCAACTGATGTGCGTCTGATCGTCACAGGAACAGGACTAATGTGGACAGGTCATATGCGGAGAAATTGTCTTGTAGATTACTTATCAAATTGATAGCTAATGGGTGTGTGTAATTACTGTAAACCGTTCATCTGCAGTGTTTTTTTTTTAATATTTAGAAACAGTCTGCACCGCTTTAATATCAACAGGTATAAGATATAGATTTCATTAGGACTGGCGTGAAGGGCATATACGTAGTGCATATACCCATCTTGCTCATAATGGCCTCTAATTAGATTTCAGATGAGACGTTGTCATTTCCAGCCCATCGTTTTGCAAATCAAATCATGTCACTGGCATCATGCTTTGAAGCTACGCAGGCTTCCCTTCAAGTCAGAATGGTCGGGAGGCCGTGTGTCGCTGTTAATTACCATCACTGGCTGATAAAGCCTTTTGGAGAAGACTTAAATCCCGCTAAAGAGCATTAGGTGACAAGCAAGGCGCTTGCAAACAAGCATGGCACAGGCCCTGAAGGAGAGGATGTAGGGGTAAAATGATACATGCTGCTGAACAGATGCAAAATAATCATTGGTACGCTAATTATTCCAAGGAGGGGAGGAGGGGGCTACTTAGAGTTTATGCCTGTGTTTGTGATAAAATGTATTTCTTAGGAGAAATCTAATCAAGACAGCCATCTTTTATAAATACATTGTCACAAAAATGTAAATAGAAAACCTGTCTAATTTCATCTTAAAGCATTAACTTTTTCCCCCTGTTATTCATGTTCCAGGTGCGAAACAGACAAGTATGACATTCAACTGAGACAGAAAGTCACAAAGGAAAATTTCACTCAAGCGTCAGGCTATGATGGAGATCATGGGTAAGTATATCAAGTTACCTGCAGATGTAGAGGACAGGTTAAAGCCAAACACAGTCCAGTAAAGTCAGTAAGACTCCCCGCCGCCATCATCAGAGGCTTACAATTAGGGTGTCAAGTACGCTTGCTTCAGCCACACTGAAGGGAATAGTTACATGTGCAGGTGGCAAAGGATTGACAGTCTGGTCAGTAGTCAAAATGTTGTGGTGAAGAGTTTACAAGGTTTTAACCTTCTGCCACATACAATTACTGCAATTGTGGCTGGTTCTCATCAGCTGCTACTCTGCTAAATAAACAAGGGCAATATGACCTCATGCGACATTTCCCCTTGTCGCTTCGGCTCTGTAGTGATGCAGAAGAGTTAGTGCTTGCTTCTTTAGAACCATCCTAATGTTTCTGTATTACCTGTTGGCCACACGTTAACTTAAGATTTGGGATTTGAGATGTTATAACTCTGAAAATGTTTAAACTGAAAGAACTCACACTGTTGGCAGCTTAATTTTTTTCCCCAGACAAGCTCAGTTCCTCTCCACTCAAACCTTTTAAAGCACAGTTTGTTTGTTTTTTACTTTCCCAGTGGTACTAGTAAGTGTTGACATTTCACAGCTTAATATCGAAGGTCTAGCTTTGTGTCAGGGTCACCCAGCAGCAGCCACAAAATGTGAAAACTAATGTAAAAGCCAAACAGGAGAAACTCTGTTTCTAAATGACACAAATGATGTACAATTTCTCTGCAGATACTCAGTGTGCCTTGGAGGCTGTGGAGAGACTGCAAGCCAAATTGAAGGAGCGAGGGGAGGCCCCCACTCAGGAGAAACTATCCCTGCTGAAAACTGTCCTGCAGAGCCCCCTGTTCCTTCATATACTCAGCTTACAGCAAGCTCAGCGGAAGCCCCCGGCAAAGGTACAGCACAAGCGTGAGCATGTGGGTGTTTGGTATATATTGAATGGTGAGGAAGGAGCCGGAATCATTCCCAAAATACTGAATGCAGGAACCAAACTGGATGAGTAATCAGCTTACCTAAGCTTACCACTAAAGCCTTGAGAAAGAGAGAGAGAGGAGGAGAGAGAGAGAGAGAAAAGAGGGAGGAGGAAAGAAGTGACTATAAATCATGTTGAAGAGTTTATACAAGTCATCCAGAACATTGTCAGAAGTTTTGAGCTTATGTGTGTGTGGCATGTGGCCCTGCTGGTGGCTTATGTATCACCAAACAATATTCACTCACCTGCATCTACGTAGCCCATAATTATGTGACTCATGTTGTCACATGCCATTGAAGACACCATCATGGCTTGGTAACTGCTGGCTGTGTTATATTCTAATAGGTTAACCCACCGTCTGTACAAAAGCAATATTACATTAGAAATAAGGAAAGAGCCTGTAGCCATTTAGCTTATTTGAATTCCAGGAAACCTGACACTGGACATTGTCAAAGGGCAGACACTGACATAGTTTTGCTAAAGTTCTTCTTTCTTGTTAAATCCACAGGTATATATCTATAAATGCACCACTGCGAATATAAGTGCAATCTGATGCACTGTGAAGTCCCTTATTAGTATTTTGATAGTGTTACGTCTGTCTACCTCTGCAATTTCAACAAGTGTCAAAATTGTTAGAGTACCGTATACAGAACAGAAATAGGCATCTACTGAAACTCCTTCTTAAACTCTTAAACAGAAATACCTAACAGACTAAAGGGAACAGTTTTGCAGCTGTGTGGTATTGAAAAGAAGCCTTTATCTCAGATGCTTGGGTTCCCGCTCTCCCATCTTATCCTTCCCTGTTCCATTTTAAATCTATCTCTCTGGGTTTTTTTGTTTTTTTCTTTCAGCTAACACACATTAAAACTCCCCCCTGTTCTCCCTCCCACATCTTTCCCTCATTGTCTCACAATGTCCTCCTTTCTCTATCCTTCCTTTCTGTTCCCCTCCATCACTCTCTCACCCTCATCCTCATTTTCTCACTGTCTCATATCACTATTCTTCAATTAATGTCGCTACTTCTCTGTCATCTCTTTTTCCTCCCTCGCCCATTTCTCAGTCTTTTTTCCTTTTATCTTTCTCTCATGTATCTGCACCCCACCCCATCCATTCACTTGCATCCTCTCCATTTTTACACTTTTATTCTCTTCCTCTTCTTCATGCATCCAATTTATCAATTTCTTACCGCTCAATACATCTAACCAGGGGAAGGGCCTTTCCAAGTCCGTGTCCATGAACTGTGGCCCGTGCCTGGGTGCAGCGTTTGGCCTGAAGACACTGAGCCACAGTGACTCATACACATGGGCCATGGAGAACCGAAGACCCAGCACTGCCAGATCCATGCACAGGGACGGCAGCATGTCCTCTCTTGGCTCTCAGGATCTGTCTTTCTCAGACATCTACCCAGACAACTGCATTCACACTGAATCTCAGGTATGTAAAAAAAAAAAATACCTGTAATAAAGGAGAGATCATTTAGGAGCAGTTTAGTAATAGGGAGCAATTTATATTTAACACCGTCAGTCTATGAATCAGCCAAATATTTTTTTCTTTCTGTTGTAAAATGAAACTCATTACCATTTGAAATGTCACGTTTTACGTTAAAGAATATCTCTTTACAGTGTAAAAGTCAAGTAAGTTGGCTATCATTAAATGGTGGTTTCAGTTGATCATAAGAGGCTGCTCAGTTCGCTCGGTGTCATTTCAGGTGTGCTTTTGTTTTATACATGGCATTTATTTTTTTAGTACTGTACTCCCCCTCGAATCTCCCGCACCATGTCGATGGGGAGAAATCTCTCTGCTATTGCACACGAGGTAAACGTGCATGTGAGGTGTTAGTGTAAAGTTGATAAATGTGTCTGTGGATGTAGATTAACAAGTGAATTAAACATACTTAGTCCTTTAACCACTTGCTTTTTTTCTTTTCTTTTTACCAGTTTAATTGGAATTGATTTTTTTCCCTTCCTTTCTTCCTCCATCTTGTTTAAACCTATGCCACACTAGAGACGGCATTTGGAAATGATAGAGCTGACCAATGACGGAAAAGGACTTGGTTTTGGCATTATAGGAGGACGGAGCACAGGAGTCATGGTCAAGACCATCCTCCCTGGAGGAGCTGCTGGAAGGGTAATTCTACCTGTGAATCATTTGCATAACTAAGCCTTAAATAGCCACTTAAAGGAAAAGTCTGACATTTTGGAAATAGGCTTTTTTTACTTTCTCACTAAGGGTTAGATGAGAAAATTAGTACCACTACCGTATCAGTCAAACACAAAGCAACAGTCAGAAGTTGGTTAGCCTGGCTTTATTTAAAGACTGGAATAATAGGGAAACAGTTAGCATGGCTTTGTTTAACAGTACAAAAAGACTGCTCATACTAGCACTTCTAAACTTCTATACTTAACAAGTTATGTCTCTTTTGCATAATCCACACAAAGATGGTTATGGGATGCACTATTTTCTTGGTGAAGCACTGTTCACACATCCTCTCAACAAGGAAAATGTCAAGCCATTGCTTTTCTTAATGAAACAGATTTTAAAACAAAGAACATACTGAAATGTTATACCTGTGTGAATTTTTTTTTTTAACTTGTGTCTGTTTGAAATGGGGCCTCCTCAGGATAACCGCCTTCACAGCGGAGATCAAATCCTGCGCATTGGAGACACAGATTTAGTGGGCATGAACAGCGAGCAGGTGGCACAGGTGAGCTATTGTTTGCAAAATTTATAAAAGTAGATGATACGACAAAGACCCTGTTTTTCTCCTTCAGTATTTGTCTGGAATGATGATGCTTTATGAAACTGCTGTTTTAATAACAGCCTAATCTGATTTAGCAGTCTCACCCTGTCGCTGTGTATCTACAGTATGACATACTGTCTTTTCAGGAAAGCTGTCTTTTAACTGTTTTTTTAATGTATTTTTTAAATCTTTTTTTTTTTTTTCATTTATGGTCACGCATTATCACTTTTCATTTGTTCACAAATGACCACCTGGCCCAGGTGCTGCGAAATGCTGGGAGCAAGGTGAAACTGCTCATCGCCAGGGATATTACCAAGGACAACCACCTTTCCTCTCCTGTCCTCAGCCAGGACAACTTGGACAGCAAGGTGTGTGTGTGTGTGTGTGTGTGTGTGTGTGTGTGTGTGTGTGTGTGTGTATTATGCATATTTGTGTACATATATAAAGTATATTAGCACATCATAAAAGCTACAAGTAAACTATTTATGTCAAATAATTTGTCTATTCTGTGATATTAAATGTGTAATCTGGTGTTCTCTAAACCCAGAGGTTTTTCTTTCTGTGCTTCTTTCCAGCTCGGTGACTTGAATGATGACTATGAGTTTAGTGTGCAGTTCACTAAAAACAGCCGTGGCTTGGGATTCACCATCTCCAGCTACATAGGTGACCTAAATTCAGGTATGTGGCTACCTAGATTCAACTTTGGTTTGTTGTAATTCATTGATTTATTTTTTATTGATATTACTGAGTCACAGTTTGCAGAATCAATTCCAAGTTTCCTTTTAATATATTGTGCTCTCCTCAGTCTACAGTGCCGGCGTGATCGTGAAGAGCATAGTTAAAGGCAGCACTGTCGATCAAGATGGGCGCATACACATTGGAGACATCATCCTGTCTGTGAGTTAGTCTAAAAACACAACAGATGGCTTTTTTATTGTGCTGTCTTTGAAGTCAAATACCTTGTTGTCTAAAATATATTCTCTGCTGATTCTCAAAATGTGCAAGATTTATAACTTTTGATAGTTTTATACACACCAATCCAGCCATATTCTCTTGTTTTTTTCCCAACGGTTTCCATCCTATTCTAGCTTTTGATTACTTCTGATTTATTTTTATTTACATTGATATATAATCTAACTGTTGTTTTCTTACCTTTATACCATCCACCAAAACTTTACTTCCATCCTATCATACCTGCGCCTTCGCCGTTGCTATTTTCCCTCGCTCCCTGCCCTTAAATCTCTTGTTCCCCTCCTGCAGGTCGATGGGGTGAGCCTGCAGGGCTGCAGTGAACAGCGTGCCATGGAAGTGCTGAGGAGGACAGGCCCCCTGGTCAGACTGAAGTTGCTGAGGAAAGCAGTGCGCCTGAGTCACATCCTGCCCCCAGTACCCCCTCTGCAACCCCTCCGACACTCCCACAGCTTCCATGAGGGCAATCCCTACAGAGTGGGCCTCAACAAAATTCAAGAGACAGGTGCTGTGTGCTGAGAAAGGACTAAATGGTATCATGAGTGAACCAGTTTTGCAGTGACTGAGCAAACAGAGAGCATGTTGATGTTAGCCCCAGCATAAACTTGTAATGCAAGTAATCATCCACAAGAGTTAACTCCACTGTTGAGTTAAATCAGAAGTAAAATTGTGACTACAAATGTTGGTGCTTCTTTGGGCCAATAGTGAACTTTGCATGTTGTCTCCTTTCAAATGCTTGCTGGGAAAAACATTTTCTTTTAATAACCCAAGTGTGTATCTGCCTACGTGTCTATTTGGATCCTCGCTTTGGTGCTCAAATGTGTTCCTCTGTCTCCCAGGAATCTGCTCTCTGCGTGAAATCTCCCGGCGAGCAGCATACGCCAACAGACGACCCCGACATGATTCCAGAACCGGTAAGCTCCCCTTCCCATACTGCACTGCAGTCTGGAACTGGATCATGGGACTTAGTCTGATATGCTGATTGGACTCGGGGAACAGCAATGTGCCAGTGAAGCATGCTCTTTGATGGGAGTCTATTTATAGTATTGTGCAATCATGTGTTTATCCAACTCATTCAGCTCATTCCAGATGATTTGTCTCTCACCCTGCCTGCATATATGGCTTTATTTAGACAGGAATTTTTGGGCTTGATTAGAGAGCACAGTCAAATAAGCCCTGATTGCTGTGAGGCTGTATTAAATGAATGAGAAACCATTCGTTTGCCAAGAAATCACAAGATGGTGGATGTGAATATGCATGCGTGCGTGCCTGTGGTGTGGGTGTATGTGTGTGTGCGCCCGTCTGTTGACACCCTGCTTTGCAACATGGAGAATTATGTTGTCTTTTCTCTATAATACAGCCAGGGTGATGTTTTCACATTGGATCCCAGTCATTATTAATTGGATCATCTGGGGTTTGGAATATTGTGAATGAGTGTGTGTGTCCCCTGGTTCATGTGTGTTAATATGTGATATGAAGTGTGTGTGCACATTTTACAGGTGTGAAACTTACTCCAGCTGAGGAGGAAAATCTGAGGAAGAAGTGGCAGCATGCAGTCGGACCCCGATACGAAGTGATTGTACGTCCCTCTGTAATGAATAAACACTGAGTATAATACAGAAAGAAACTCTACCACTCTTACTCACTAAACTTTTTTTTGTTTTTTTTTTGTTATCCCACCATTTATTTTCCCCCGTCTCCGTCTGTTTTAGGTTTGTCAGCTGGAGCGTTTCACTGAGACAAGTGGTTTGGGCATCAGTTTGGAGGCTCGGGCAGGACATCACTACCTGTGTTCCATCTTGCCTGAGGGCCCTGTTGGCCAAAGTGGCAAGATTTTCGCTGGAGACCAGATATTGGAGGTAGCTCATGGATACTGCAGACTCTTTCAGCCAACTGTTCTGCAACCTATCCTTTACTTATTTGATAAAAATATCAGATCCTGTAAACTGAATTAAGATATGATCTGTGTGGGATTTTGCCATATCTGTGGGATCTACACAGATGACTAATCGAAAGGTTCCCGCATTTTTTTTTTGTTCACAGTACCATATTTTCATTCCTGTTTCCAGTTCTTTATTCAAGCAGTGCTTGAATAAAAGTGGGAGGTATCCGGCATGTTTGAAGGTCTACACAACAACAACAGACAACAGAAAACAGATTTTTTACTCAAACCCTACAATATAGTTCAGTGCTTTTGCTCAACAATAGTAAGCAAGTCATAAGATGGTAGGTGTTAGAATGTGTGCCTTTGTGCATAAATGTCTGTGCTGTTTGAAAGAGCTTCCCCTCCTCCCCCTCGAGTGGGCAAGTTCATGCACCCACATGAATCAGTCACCAAGATGAGCGGTCTGATGAAACTCTTGGACAAATTGCAGTTGCTTAAGTGGCTATATAGAACACAGTGCAGACTGGCTTCTGTCTTTCGTATCTTTGAGGGGCACAAGGCGACATCTGTGTTGCAGCTCAACCCTTTGATTTCCTTCAGATAACAAGAGCGTGGCAAAAACCATTGTTCATCTCTGTTTTCAAATGAGCCTCACTCACTTTAGTTGCCGCCTTCAGCTTTAATTCAATTTCAATTCAGCTTTATTTATAGAGCCAAATCACCACACAAGTCATCTCAGGACACTTTGCATAGTTTAAGACCATACAATTATCGAGAGAAACCTAGCGATACTTCCTTGAGCAACTAATCGGCAACAGTAGGGAGGAAAAAACTCCCTTTCAGCAGAAAGAAATCTCTGACAGAAGCAGACTGAGGGTGGCCAACCATGCCTGCAACAGTTGTTCATGACCTGCTGTGACTCCATGTTCTGTGGCCACTAATTGCTCCTTGATACCCAAAAACTGAAATTTTGTTATAAAATATATATTAACAGGGCTGTCTACTAGATTTTTTTTTAATGAAGACTCACACACGCAACTAAACAGAGTTACAGTCATTGACAAGTAGAAGATAATTTGCAGTACTAATATTGTTATTTTCAAGTAAAAATTATGTACATTCTCTATCTTAGGTGAACAGTACAGGTGTGTGTTATACATGTGTCACATATTTTTCAGAACCTACAGGCATAGGAATATCTATTTTAGAAATGCTACATATATCTCTTTTGTGTCTTCCTGGCAGGTGAATGGGATCCCTCTCATTGGAGAAACACATAAGGAAGTGGTCAATATTCTGAAGGAACTGCCAATGCACGTATACCTGGTATGCTCTCGCATTTTACCCCCGTCAGTTCCGGACAGCGATGCGGAAGAGGATGATGATGTCTGTCTCACCTTGAAAGAACTGCTGGCTGAGTTCAATGATAAGGTGAGGACAAAACCTGAAGAAGAGGTGAATTAAGGAGATTAAGCATTAATGGGGAAATTGTTTCCTTTATAAACAATATAAACTACATTAGATTTATTATTTTTACATATTAAAAAATGACACTGACATGCTCTCCTCTTGTAAATCAGTCTACTTTCTGTGTCCTCTTTCTCTTCTCCATGTGTCCCAGTTGGACCAGGGCTGTGTCATTCCCTGTCCTACAGCTGAGGACATCACCAAGCGTGGCGTGCCCCCCATGTCACCTCCTCTGGCCATGTGGGAGAGAGAGGCTCAGGTGGTCGAGCTGGAGAAAGGCGAGTTGGGACTGGGCTTCAGTATCCTGGACTACCAGGTAAGAGACATGCCCCTGGGCCTTTCTGCAAATAGACCAGACTGGAATAGACTGCAGTCTAAGAATATCGGTGTTGGGTCGGATAGGGTGAGCACGAAGAAAATGGATAGATGGACTTGTGTATTCTGCAGGGAGAATTCTTGTATTCTGTATATTTGTGTGTTAAACTGCTGAGAATGAAAAGTGCTCTGTCAGTTTCTGTTTAAAAATTTTAGAATAAAACACCTTTTGAGCGAAAAATCAATGCTAAAGCTTTCAAGCTATAAAGAAATAATAACTGTGGCTGGTTGCCCCTCTGCGAAACAAACCAATCCATTTCCTTTTCATGTGTTAATTAGCCACTTTTATTGTGTTGTTTACTTGCATTCATCATCATCTCATTTTGCTTAACAATGTATCTGTTTTCTCACATTTTTTGTGTCTGTTTCAGTAAACCATTACCTTCATCTTGTGTTTAACTGTAGGATCCAGAAGATGCCACCAAGACAGTTCTGGTAATCCGGTCCTTGGTGCCTGGAGGTGTAGCCGATCGAGATGGTCGCCTTCTACCTGGTGATCGACTCATGTTTGTTAATGAAACTGACCTAGAAGGCTCCAGCCTGGATTATGCTGTGCATGTCCTAAAGTCCACTGGCTATGGCACTGTCCGCATTGGTGTTGCCAAACCCCTGCCGGTATGTAAAGATGAATTTAAATTAATATCAGTATTATTTTCTTTTTCTTTTTTTTCTTTTTTTTTTTTTAGAAATGTGGAATTGCATCCAGTAAACATCCCAAACCTGACTACACCTCTGTGCTCTATCAAAAAAATGTTGAATGACTCAAAACTGTATCACTGCAGTATTGACATGTAAAGTATTTAATCTTTTGTATAATTTAAAACAGACTGTTAAAATACAGCCTCAATGTAACAAAAGTCAAAATTGTGTCTAATGCAACATGGCCCCTTGTGGTAAGGAAGTACCTAAACAATTAAGAAACCAGATTGTGAGGCTTCACAATTTATCAGGTCTTACCAGGTCATTATTGAAAATGAGAACCAGTTCTCAATTAACTTACCTGGTAAAATAAAGGTTAAATAAAAATAACTAATGATTGAAGATACAACAACATCAGCAGGCTGTTTAAGAAAAGCCATGCTACTCATAACTAAAGGTGCAGTGGTTGTCATCTCGAAATTATACTACGCATAGTTCACTCTTTACACAACCTTGCAAAGACAGGTAAACAGATGAGTAAATGCTTCGAGGATTATCTGTGGAAACTGGTGTTTGGAAGACTGGTCAAACACTGTGAAGGACATTGCATGAAGTAAGCCTCTACACACAGTGTCCAAAAAGAAAACTGCTGCACACAAAAAAGCACAAAGCTGCAAGGTTAAACGTTGCCAAAGAACATGAAAAGAAGGCTGATGAATATTTGCAATACATTCTTTGGTCAGATAAAACCACAATCACATTATTTGGATCAGATTTCGTCCAGCATGTTTGATGTGGATCTGACCCAGACCACAATTGTGACTGGCCTATGCAAACTGTGAAACATAATGGAGGGCGCACGCTGTTAAGGGGCTGCACGAGTGCAAAAGCGTAGGATATTCAAAGCAAATGATGATGATTTATAGATGGCTCTGTGAATGCAAGTTTGTGTGACAAAATACTGAATATATGACTCTTCAGTCCCACAAGGCTTGGCGGGGGAAGAATTTCCCAACATGACAATGGTCTCACACTGCTGCAATCACACAAGAGTTTTCATAAAAGAAAAAGGTGAAACCTATGACCTGGCCAAGTATGCCCCTGGACTTGAATTCAATACAACACCTTTGGAGTGTTTTAAAGTAGAAGACAGAGCAATATAACCCCTCAAGCAAAGCTGAAAAAATCATCTGTAAAGAATGGAAGAACATCTTTCCTCAGATTTGTGCAACATTGACATCATCCATGCCCAGGAGGATTGAATTTATCATCAAAAATAAAGCCAAACAAACAAAATGTTGAAAGAATAAAGATACGGAATCTCTCTAATGAAGGGTGTTTTCACTGCTATTGCATTACAGTTGAACTTTGGGGAAAAACCTTTAATGTAGCCTATTTAACCTATTTGCATTTTATTATACAGTAGATCAAATATTCCACAGCTCAACTTTCAAATAATACAGCTATTGTAGGGTGATGTAATGTCAAATTATTATTGCACAGCAGCTTACTTGTACACTAGATGTTCTTTAAATACATTTTCTTTAAAAGCACTTAAATATATTTACAGGTGAACAGTTTAACTCAACAAGAATGGCTAATTATGCAAATGAAATACCTGACAAATTATGAACATTAATCACAATGGTACAAATATGCAGACATTAAAAAGATATTTACTACTGATAATATTTATCACACGGTTCCCTGTGCACAACTGTAAAATGCGTTCTGACACATAATTATGATGAACTGCAACATACACTATAAATTCAACCTTAAAATTTAAAGAGATTTTTCTTTTTCCTTTTTTAGGACTTCATAAAAAACTGATTTGTATTTCTGCAGATATGCGAGATAATTGCCTAAATGTATACTTCCTCTTGAAAAGTACATTATTTCTTCTCCTTTTTGTTGTGGACTGTGGCTTAGTAACAAGGAACAGAGAATCCAGTTACAGGCCTTCTGAATTTTTAATGCAGCTGAGAGATGAACACAATGCTCAACCACACTACAGATGGAGGGAGAAGGAGAGAGGAGTGCAGGGTGTCTAATTTACAGTCACCTCCTTTAGCCTGTTTGCTTTAATGTGAATTTTACACAGTTTTGAAGCACACAGACATTTTTCTTTTTTTTCCAAAGTCCTAACGTTCAAATTTGGAATATTGTATCCTCAGCTGGAACTGTGTGGCGGTTTGACACCCATCTCAGAGAGGAGCGCACGGGCTTCATGCGATGACACCGACAGCCACACTCAGGTCAGCTTGTTAGCTGAAGCAGCTGAGGCTAACATCAACACCACCACTCGCAACTCCGAGGACAACAGGATCAACCAACTGTGCTTCACGGTAGGTCATACAGCACAAAATTTGGTACTGGCACTCCAAACTACTTTTTTTTTGTTGGACTGTTTTTGAAAAATACTTTATACTCGCTTATTTTTGGCTAGAAAAAAGAACTGAACTTTGGTGCGCATGAGAGGCATTTCTGTTTCTAATATCTGGCTCGACAAATACCAACATCAAAACTAAAGGTCAGAACTGTTTAAACATTTTTTAAGAAATGCTGGGCCATTTGTCCGATTCATTTTCACAGCACCAGTTTTGTGTACAGAGGACAGATCTGGAATGAAAACATTCTTGGTGTCAAAATTTGTCAGAATTCACAAGTTTAAAATGTATTATGTGGTTCTTGAACTTCAGAAGAATACCCTTCTTTGTTGTACAATCATGCACAATCATCTATCAGGATTCTTGTAAATGAGTGTTTGCATAATGCTTTAGACTCAGCGGGAAACATCTTTGCTGTGACAGTTACAGTAACACAACAGTAGTCTGCATCTTGCAGCCTGTCACACAGGGAGCATTGCTCATTACCATGCAAACCTGAGATTCTGTGGGTAGCCATTTTAGCCACTCTAAAGGAGATTAGCGTGTCAGTGTCTGTTCCCTTCGTCCGTGCTCTATAGTGGGGAGCTTAGAGCTGGCTGTATCAGTATCACTGGGTCAGGCATAGAGAAAGTGCTCAGTGTCAAAGACGTGTTACTGCATTGTGGCCTCAACTCGGTGCTATTGAGGCAGCCTTTTGTACTCGCTTTTGCTTAATTACCAACAATTGCCTCTCAATGGAAAGTGCTTACTGCTTGCATGACATTGGCACATGGTCTGGTACAAGGACGTGCAGTTCTGCATCAATGTGTCTCACACATACACACACACATCGACTCAGAGCAAGTGTCACAGTGTTCTCATCAAAGACAGGCTTGTTGCAAAGGTATCTTCAGAACTTCAGTGCTGCTTGTACTTTATGTGAAGATTCAAAGAAGATCTCCCCATTGCCCTTTTTCTTTGTGAAGTGCCCGGGGGACATAAGAAGCCTACCTTTCTGCATGTTTTACATTTCAGAATTACTCCAAAGGCCTTCCCCCTAGAGAGTTAATGGTTGTCTGAAACAATTTTTGTTTCACACAAGAAGCTTTATGGCTGTAATGATAATTTAGGACTTCGGCACCAGTTTATTTTTTACAATAATTACTTTTCTAGAAGTTGCAAATTGCAGATGCTGTACGTATTCACTCTTCATTTCTTTTTTTTTTTTTTGGTCTGTTGGCTGCTCAGCTCCACCACTATGGTGCAGACTGAAAATATCTTAACAACTATTGGATGGGTTGCAAATACATTTTCTCCAGACAATTACATTCCACAAAGGATGAATCCTATTGATTTTGGTGACCTCCTTGTTTTTTCTTTAGCACTATCATCAGGTTGACATTGATTCAGAGTGTTGTGAAATGTCTTGACAGATACTGAACAAGTGCTTATTAAAGTTGCTGCAGATGTTAACTTCTCAAAGGGTGAATTCTAATGATTTTGATGACCCTCGCACTATTGCTCTATTACCTGTTTTCATTTATTTAGTCAAAACTCAAAACATCTACTTGATTGATCACTGCAAAATTATGGAACAGGTATTTATTGTTCCAAGAGGATGGCTGGTAATACTTTAAATCCCCTAACAATTAATGGAGGTCAAACTTACAATTTGTTCAATACTTTGGGTTCCTACCAAATCCCTGGTAAGTATTGATGTTTCTGTCAGCCTCAGCTGTACTCGGTGTTCACAGCTAATTACCACATGTTAGAATGCTAGCATGCTCAACCAAGACAGTAAACATGGTAAACCTATCCTATCATCTAATGTAGCTCAAGACACCACTGTGCGGCTTCACAGAGCCATTAGCACAACTGAAGAACCGTCATTTTTGTTTTATGCCTTTGTCACCGCCCCTTAATCACCTCCTTACTCATGCACCCTGTTGTATTTGTCTTAGGAAAACCGACTACGTCACCGTTTTGGCATCATGGAAGATGACGACAGGCAGCAAGCCCCACCTCTGCCCCCCCGCACCAGCTTTGAGAAGACAATCACTGTTGTCCGGGGCAACCGTAGCCTTGGTATGTTCTCCGTCTTTCTCATGGTGATGGTGTCTTGGTGTGTGTACGTCACAGGCATGGCGATAATGACACTAATCAGAGGTGGTGATGACGACTGCCCTGAAGAGGAGTGGTGAAGTGTGTTCTTCGTACCTGAGAGAGGAAATGATAATCTGTGTGTGTGTGTGTGTGTGTTTACTGGATGTGTGTGTGTGTGTTTGGGTGAGAAGCTAGTAAGAGGATGAATGAACAGTTAAAGAATATCAAGAGATAACACAAAAACAGTGAATATATATTTATTTGAATGTTGGTCGAAATATATATTTTTTATACTCCAGTGTTGAGTGTACTTTGTCTTAACGGCTCCAAGAGCAAGTCCAATGTCTGGCGATTCAAACATGACATGGAAACAACAGGGTGCAAGGCGATTCTGCACCCTTGTCTAAGGGCGCTATGCAAAGCATTAGGAATCCACCTCATTTATATTCTGGAAACGTGCTCTAATAAGGCACCACACTACTTGTGTGTTTTGTGTGTGTGTGTGTGTGTGTGTGTGTGTGTGTGTGTGTGTGTGTGTGTGTGTGTGTGTGTGAAAGTTTGAAATTATGTAAATGTTCACATAGAGAAAATCAAGGTCATAACCTACACTCTGTGTATCACTGCATTCTTTGGTTTTCATCAGTTTCAAATATTGTAGGTCCTCTTGCTGGGATATTTAATGAAGCATTGTCTTCTTGAAATCCAAATGTGGAGGGTTTACAGATTTTGTTTGTTTTTGGTTTTGAAAATCTAAATGTATTTGATTTGGAACAAAAGCTTCAGCTGCAGAGTAACAGTATGTAAACATTTGGCTTGAATATGAGGGAATTTTTAAGATCAATGGCAATGTAGTACATATCTGTTTGTGCTGCTTTTACCTTCTTCCAAATATTAGGTGCCATGTACAATATTATCCATACCTATGACTTTATGCCCAATCTTGGAGATGAGACATGTACGTACAGTGTATGGTTGGTTTGTACTACAGGGTCTGGATGGCTTTTAGAGCAGGTTGTTAAAGAAAAAGGTTTGATGGACTAAAATGTGGTCTTTTTTTTCTTGCCTTGCTCATCTAAAACATGACTATAAGCAGTCTGTGTAGTTTTTGCGTCTTCTTGAACGCTGTGAACCCATTGGTGTGAACCTGTTGTGCTTACTAAAGTCTTTGATACTTTAAAAAAGTTTTGTTGAGGTCGAAACAAATAGATTTTCATGTAGAAATTGTCATGTGGGAGTTTACCATAAATTACTCTAAACATTCTTATAAGAGAGTTTGTAATAGTAAAATGTATTTTGATGCTGTTGTAGTAATTCAACACCTTTTGGATTTAGAAACTTTCAGCATAATTTCTTCAAAATTCCTCTAATGTCTTTGAAATGTGTGTCCTCTGTTTGACCTGTCAGAGCCAGTAGCTGTGTCTCCAGTTGATTGTATTCCAGGCACTATGATTGTATTGTAATTTGAATGTAAAAGAAAAAAAACAATAAACTATTTATATGATCAAAAATAAGCACAGTCATTTCTTTGATCATCTTCAAATTATGTACGACCATAGTGTTGTGGATGTCCGTTGTCATTAGATACCAATGTAGTATGCAGCACTGTAGACCAGACGACCTAATTTGTCGCAGCCTTTCCTGTCTGCAGTGTGTATATGTGTGTGTGCATGAGGTGTGCACGTAAGTGTGTGATGCCTGATTTACCTGCCTTTGCCTGTTTGCATTAATGAAGTGTTTGTGTAATCCACCTAGTGTCCAAATTGATAATGCCAAAGTCAGGTGTTTGTGCGACTGGCATGTGTTACCCCTCTAGTCACCTGTGCCCTCTGCCCTTTGTGGGCGTGAGTGTGTGTGATTCTGTTTATGCACCTTATGTGACTGACTCTGAAGGATGATGCTGTGTAAATGTCAAGCATGTGTAGCCATGTTTGTGTGCTAATCTGCCTAGTGTCTGCCTTGATTATGCTGATTATGCCACTGTCAGGTGTTTGTTTGGGCGACTGTCTCTGTTTGGCAGGGATTCATACCAGCCTTAGCCAACCCTCCACTCACCTGTGCTTGTGTGTGTGTGTGTGTGTGTGTGTGTGTGTGTGTGTGTGCGCACGCGCGCGCTTCGTGTGTGTTTATGTGTCGTGTGCGTGTTGGCAGGGATGTCGGTGAGTGCTATCAAGGACGGCTCAGGCATGCTGGTGCGCAGTGTGGTCCAGGGGGGCTCTGTTAGCCAGGATGGAAGGCTAGGGGTGGGGGACGCCATCATGGCCATCAACGGAGAAACTACCTCCAACCTGACTAACGCCAAGGCCAGGGCCATGCTCCGCAGACACTCTGTCATAGGGCCAGAGATGAGGTGAGGAGACAGTCTCTGCCCCATAGCATTACATTATATGTTACATCACGGTGCGGTTCACACAACAACTCTGTGAAAGCTCTTAAGGGCGTTTAAATCACAGAACTCCCTCTACTTCACCTGTCTAAAAGTACTGGGTGGCGAGATGTGCAACGCGGTGTGTCATCCACTTTACAATGGGTCAAGTGCTATTTGAACGCTTGAACCTTCAGATTTCTTAGCTGTTGTAGAAAATGAAATATGGATCTGAAGTGTAACATGACATCATTGAGTACACTACAACACTAAATATGTTGTAATTTTGTTAGGAAACACACACACACACACATATATATATAGTGTAGTTATAGATATAGATATATAAAGCAAGCAGTTGTATTTCCAGCATTCTATACGATAAAAAGTAGTGTAAACACCATAGGAAAATCACAGGTGTAAATATTAAAATGAATGAGTTCTGTTTAGTTGTCTCAGTTTGTGGGTCGTGGTAGACTATGGTGCATACGTGCTGCTACAGCGATGGCTTACAGGGACACTTTAATAGAATAGAGCCATCATCAATGTCATTAGTGCTTACGTGCTTCTCCTGTTTTGACAAGCTAAATTATCTGCTATGAAATTAACGCATGTGATGTTAATGACTTGAAGAGCCTGTACACTCACACCAACCACACAGACGTTACTTATTCTGGCCAATTAGACCTCAGCTTAGGTTGAAGTTGAGCGGCGCCACCGCAAATTAACCACTAAAAGTGATAAAGATGTAGCTGTCTGATCTTAATGCAGCAAAACAATCAGATCAAAGACTGCAGACTGTACGTGCCCACACAGTCCTTAGAACAGACCATACATAAACATGAATAACGCCTGTATGAGTGGACAGCTCTGCCCTACAAAGACGGAGAGAAGTGAATGCAGAAGCAGCAAAGTTTGAGAAAAAAAGGGGTTCAAGTTGGCCAGCAAACTGTAAAACAGATCAAAGGTTGGAATGCTTTGATTTTATATATTTTTGATTCTATTCTACCCATTAAAAACATTGCCATAAAAATCAATGCAATACTTTACAAATCCAATTACTGCATTATATTGCTGCTTTAGCTACAAGCAAACTGTGTTCTCTCAGGTTTCTCATCCCTGTAATTATTTTGTGTAAGAAATGTGTTGTGATTATTATTCACAGCCTGTGTCTACCTGAATACTACAACTATTCATATTAAAATCAAGTAATACATGTATTTACAAGTTAATACACCTAAGGATTGTATATCATTTAAAGGTAGCTTAACCATCAAACCGCATGGAATTTTCTAAAGTCAAAAAATGAAATGCATGTGAGTTTACATGAATAAAATTGACATTTTTGTCAGTAAATCTGCACTCAATAACCCATAATGACAACGGCAAAACATGTATTTGCATAAAAATCAAAAGCTGAAAATATTCATTTATAAAACAGCGCTTTAGCTGCAACACTGAAAATCGTTGGTCAACTGTGTCCTGTTTGCTGTAAATATCCTCAAGACGCAAAGTCAGCGAGAATGGTCACTTTATCAGCTTCAGAAGTCCCTTGCAGAGATCAGGCTTTTATGATAGAGTAAGCAGACCAAAGCCACTCTCGACTGAAAAAACTTACGACAGCCCACATAGGGGTTTTTCTGAGTATCATTTAACAGACTAAAGGAAACAGATCATCTGCTATGATTCTCTGGCACAGCTCTGAGCACTGTGTCTGGTAAACACCAGGACTGCTCAACACTAATATCATCCCTGTGGTGAAGCATGGTGGTAACAACATCATGCAAAGTGGGTTTTTCTCAGCGGTGGCGACAGGGCTGACTGTTCAGAGCTGATAGAAGGATAAATGCTGCCAAATAGAAAGCGGTCCCGAGTGCAAGTGACCCGACACTGGGGCAATGGCTCCCCTTTCAGAAGGACGATGACCTGAAGCGCACACTCAAGACAACAGTCGAGTGGCAAGTGTCTTGACTGTGTCTTGACAGTGTCCTTGAGTGGCCCAACCAAAGCCCAGGCTTAAACCCCACACTGCATCTGTGGAGAGACCTAAAGATGACAGTTCACACAAACACTTCCAATCCAATCTGAAGGAGCTTGAGAGGATCTACTCAGAAGAAAAGGATAAACTGTCCAAATCCAGGTGTGCAAAGCTTAGTACAAACCAAAGCTGTAGTTGCTGCCAAAGGGATTCTTACAGATTACTGAACTGAGGGTCTGAATACTTCTGTAAACGAGAGATTTAATTCATTTGCAAAAATCTCTAAACATGTTTTCACTTCATCATTATGGGTTAATGAGAGCAGTTAGAGGGAGATCATTTCAATTTTATCAATTTAGAAATAAATCTACTAAACAATAAGGCATTAAAAAATGAAGGGGATGTCAGTGTTCTTTGAATCCCCCCATAAGAGATATCAAAAATTCAGGTGCTTTAACCAAATATGGTTTTACTTTTTGCCAGAGTAGGTCGATGATATTTAAACACAATCTATCCATAATACTTGCTCATAATGATTCCCAGCCTTCCACACTCCCACTTAAATTGTGTTTTGGTTGTGCACCACTAGAGATGAATATAATTAAATCTGTGACATAACATCAAAAACAATTTACGGATTTTGAAGTTGTGTAATTGTTCTAATGTCTGTATGAAATCACTTTCATTCCACTTTATTATCTAAATATATATATATATATGTATGAAGATAAACACAACAACACATCACCTCAATGCAAACTTTCACCACTACACAGTGTTCTGCTTTTACAATAAGCTATTACTAGATTTCTGGTGGGTATATTGTAGCCAATTGTGTTTGGTACAAAAATTATACATATCCTGGTGTCCTTGCTGTTTCCAAATTCTGGGGTTGTAAGAACTTTTGGAACCTAAAAGGTCTTAGTTCCTTAAAAAACACTGTGAGACTCTAACTTATGACACCAAACAAGGCCCTGCATTTGGCCCCACTCTAACCCTCTGGGGTCATCTGAATATGTATGCCACTTTAGTGCCACGCGATATTATAAATACTATTTACAAAATTAACCGTAATTTGAATTCAAAATATTTTATTCATTTTATTCAACACACATAAAAACTATGGAGGTGTACTTGGCTTCTTCAAACTTGTAGCTCAAGGCCTCAGGTAACAACCTCAAGTATCAACTGAGTGCTTTTCCAGACTTTCCTGACTGTAGGGACCCCGGGGGGTTAAAGTAGGACGTGCACGACGCATTTAAAATAGATTCCAGTCGGTTATTTGGCGCAGGTATTCATATTGCGTTCATGTGCAATTCTGTCATGTTACAGTTTAAACACATCTTTGCTGGAAAAACAAGAAAGCTATCGTTATTGCTTTCAAGAGAACGTAGAAAGGCCTTTTGGGAATGTAGAGAACAGTCAAACGCTGAAAAAGTAATCGAATACCGCTCACTTTTGTTTAGATCTACCCAAGCAGATCTTGACAGTCAGTGTGACTCCAATGAGTGAGTATATGTACATCATAAATATAAAGACTTGCTCTCTGTAGTTACAAACATGACTTTCACTGCTTCATCACCTATAAACGATCTTGTCTCACTTCGGATCTCCATTATCACCTTGTTTTTGATGCCGCAGTCATAGCTGACTGAGGCACTACAGTCATGTTAGATTAGATTAGATGATGAAATTTTAAAGATTGCCTGAGGGGAAATTGGGTAAATTATTACTTGTTCTAACATCAGCAGTTATGGCTCCACATTGACAATGCTTGTTTGGCTGATTGGAGATGTGCTCCACCTCCACCAACCCGCTGCCCTGCAAAACACCCACTCACTTTCTTTCAACCTCAGTGTCTCTTTCTCCCTCCCCTCCTCTCTCTCTCTTGCTCTCTCTCTCTCTCTCTCTCTTTTGCTTTTACGGGCACGCACGTACACACATTAACACACAAATACACAGCCTTTCAATGGTCTAACCTCCAAAAACACCTTTTTCCTGCTATGGGAAATATCTCTGAATAATTCATCACTCATCTCACCTTGAACAGTGTGCTTCTGAATAAAAGAGCACTTTAAAGAGGCTCTCATAGATGCACACACCGATGAACACACACATGCATTTTGTCTCTCTCCACACATGCGCACACGCGCACAAACAGCACTCATCCACACACACATGCTCACACTGCCTCCTCCTGACAGCACTTCAGACAAACTAAGAGCGAGTGGAGGCAGATGAGTTGCTTTGGCAGCCTCAGAATAAGACACATAGAAGGGTGAAGGCTTGTCACTATCAAACTGCCTCTTTTGAGACAAGACAGGCTGTCCGCATGGCTCAGTCACAACAGCTTAGCGTAACAGACCTCCATATTCAATCCACCACCCTGAATGAAACAGAGAAATCGTCTCTTTTAGCCGATTCAAACACCATTTCTGCCTGTCGCGTCACATTATGTAATGAGGAAAAAAATGGAGGTGTGATGGAGGGAGGCTTTAATGATGTCCTTGACGTCTCTTACACCACAGCTTAGATAGATGTGGGCCAGTACAAAACAAAAACTCTTTCTTGTCTTTTTTTTCCATTTTTCTTCATGGAGTGGGGCACATCCATACATTCAAACTCTGAATAACATTCGACATGCAGGAGAGTAGTTTCAGGGGCTGTTTATTGTTTTGTGCTGTCTAGTTGTGTGATTTAAAAAAAAGGACATTTGTAGTTGCTAATCAGTTTCTAATGTTTGTGAAAACTATTTAGTTTTAAAACATTTCCTCATATGCCTCTTTGACATATAGATTGTCACCGAAGCCAAATTGCATGATTCATATTTTTTTTTAGATAATAGCAGATAGAGCCTTGGGATTTTAGAAAATAAACTTACTTGCTTTCCACTAGAAGTCACCACATCCAGCCAAGATAAAGACCCGCATATTAAAAAAAAAAAAAAAAAGATTTTGTATGAACTAAAAGAACAAGATAAAATGTCTTAATTTGTCAGCTTTTGTACCTTTGAAGAGAACCACGGTGGATGTCTCCCCCTGTGCTGAGTTTTAATGCTTAGCTAAGTTACAGGAGGTATCTTCAGATTCACTGCACCGACACGAGCGTTATTAATCTTCTTATCTAATCTTGATAAGACAGTGAATAAAAGTAATTTTCCAAAATTACCATTCATTTAAACCATAACATGCCATTATTCTCCTACTCGCTTCAGGTTTAATTTATTCTGTGTAGAAATCATTCACTTGTATTGTATCGTCGTCGTCATTCTTTTGCTATTCTATTACTCATTGTTTGGTGGTAAAATAAATGTGCAGCAGTGAAAACATAGTGAAAACTGAAATGATTAATATTTACAATGTCTTCACCCCACCCCATATCTTCTTTTCCCCCAAACCCCCAACCTTCAGTATAACCTTTGTCCCAGCCCATCAGGTGGATGACCACCGCACTCGTCTGTGTTTGCCTCCTCTGGCATCAATCCCAACAGACAGCGCCTCTCCATCACCCACCCAGCTAACTCCTTCTCCGGAGCCTCCATCCGACCCACCCAGGTCCTCCAGTCCCTCGGCCTTGTCCATGCTTAGACCGTCTGCCTCGGTCAAATTGAAAGCAGCAACTCCAGATCCAGCCGCAGTCAGAGCTTCTGCTTCATTCAAAGCTCCATCCAAAGGCTCAGCCACAGTACCCACCATCACCCCAGCCTCAGACTCAAGGTAATATAAGATCCAGAGGTCTCAGCTTATTATTTATGGCCACCTAATCCCTAGTCAGGCCCCAGAGTGCAAGATAAACCTGTCTAAGGGTTTATTAGACTTCAAGGCTCCTGCTTTATTACAAGTTGATATGTTTGCTGCAGAGACTTCCCACTATGAAATGGCTATACGTTTTGTGTTCTTTAATGTGTTAACCTTAGGCTTTTGATTTTTATAGCAGCTATGGTTTCATTACTGTAACACATCACTCAGTCACTCAGCAGCTTAAGTCACACTAATGATCTGAGTTATTATCTGACACTCTAATTAACCGTATCCATGAGGAAACATTGTGTTTCGGTGTGCAACCAGCTCAGTGTGAGTCTCTTCCAGTCCGTATTTTCTCTTCTCCATTCTTCTCCGTGGTAAAAGCAAAAAGCCTCTCTGAATGTTGAATCTCTGAGTTATATTTAGCTGTTCGCTTATGGATCTCAGTGCTGACTGTCAGCGAAAATGAATTGTTTCGCTTCTGTCTGTCCCTGCTTTCACTCCATCTTCGTGCCTCTGCATTTCTCCTCCCTCCCTCTCTCCCATTTCTCTCTGCAGCCTTTTCTTCGCTCTTATCTTTCGATACATTGCCTTTGTCTCTTTCTCTGTGTGTGCCTACATCTGTCTTTCATCTCTCTCACACCCTCAGTCATCTTGCTCTGGTCTTTTTCTCTTCACCTCATTTTCCTTCTCCTCCTCCTCCTCTCTGCCTGGGTCCTATCCCCCTCTCCTGGCTGCTCTCTTTCAGCCCTGGTGGAACCATTTGTTCTGCCCTCTTCTGTAACTTAACTGGCTATAGGCTCCTGCTGTGCAGATAGCACCACTATCACTCACATCCATGGGCTTATTACAGCCCTCCAACGTTAAACATATTCATGAAAAATTCTCTCCTTTTCTACCTCTTTCTTGCACGCTCGCACACAGTGTGTATATATACAGAGATACTGTATATAGTATGTGTTAACACACAAGCACGCACACCCACACACACACACACACACACACACACACACACACGAAGACACTTCCTTGCTGTGTCCTCACTGGCAGAAAATGTGTGTTTTCAAGGCTATTTGTGCCTAAATCAGTGTATCTTCTCAAGGCCCACCAGTATAAGTCGCTATTGGCCATATGTCACAATATGTCATGCCTTAAAAAAAAAAAACAGAGTACGCCCATATATCCTAGTAGCCACATCAGTTCTGCTCGTGTGATGTTGTCAAATGATATTTAGCATACAGAGCGAGGGCAGCAACTAATATTTTTATTGACTAAAGGTTAATCAATAAAAGTTTTTTGATTTGACTATAAATGATCTGAAAATTGTGGGAAACATTTTCTTCACTCAAAGACATTTAATTTATTTTACATGACACAAAGTAGCAAAAAGATGCAGATTCTCATGGAGAATCTACAATGACAAATGTTTTGTACCTGGGTAATTAACTTGGAAAATTATGTCAGGTTGCAAAATTATGGCCAACATATTTTCTTTACATCAACTACACCAATCAATCAGCTAACTGTTTTAATTCCAATTTACGTTATTATTACTGTAACTAAATGCACATTTTCTGGACGTTTACGTCCAGAGAGTTATCAATAAATGTATAGAATTTGGAATCAATTATGTATATCAGTTATGTTGGTGATTCTCACTAACTTTTCCAGTCAACAGGTTTCCATTTCCGTTATTCCTTCCTGCATTTTTTTTTTTTTTCACAATCAGTTGGCAGATTCCAAAATTTCTACCTCACAAGAACAAGGGAGAAGGAAAAGATGGAGATATTGTGAAGGAAAAAGGGGATAACATTATTGCCGATGGGAAAGTACCAAAACCAGACGTGAAGATAAAGGTGGATGATAAAGAAGAGGGAGATGAAGAGCTTCATTCTCACACCACAGTATCTTGGGATCAACCTAAAAGGTTAGTGAATCTGTAATGTCCAGACCAGTTGCCATTAGAATTGTTCACATCACCCATTCTCTTCTGTTTTTCAAAACTCGGCCCGCGATGCCCTTTATCCTTTGCATTTACCGGAGCAGGCTTAGCAAAATCCGAGTGTGTTCAGGTTGTGTTCACAGCAGGGGGGTAGAGCAGCGCAGCAGACTCAACATGCTCATATTTCTTAGGTTCAGAGAAAGTGACTCCTTTCCCAGCCTGTATTTATCGCATTAATGAATGCTTCCCACTTGGATAAATCACATAAGATGCCCTGCGTGCAAAAGCCAGCTTTATTTTTTTTCTGTCTCCCTGGCAGGTATAACATTCTGTTGTTTTGACTTAATCTCTGAAACTCTATCCACAGCCCCAAGCGGCAGATTGTGAGAGACTGAAAGAAGAAAATCCATTGTATTAACTCTCCTTCTTGTGCATTTTTGCAGTAATGTTTCAAATCAAGTAACACATATTCATCCCTAACCCTGCTATACTGTTAGCTGTACTGTAGCTGTACTGTTAGAGGGTTCCCAGCTCCACAATATGTGAGGATGTGTGCTTGCATCGTGCTTTTTGTTTCAGCGTGTGGCTGACTCGAGCGCCAGGCCAGTCCCTTGGTATCAGCATAATGGGAGGCAGAGGCATGGGCCGAAGACTGAGCAGTGGAGAGATGATGAGGGGAGTCTTCATCAAGCACATCAGCCCCGACAGCCCGGCAGCACATAATGGCACCCTCCGGACTGGAGACAGGATACTAGAGGTACGTGTGTGTGTGTGTTTTTACCCAGAATTTGTGGTTGTGTGTTGAAGAGACAGAGAGGGAGACGCAGGTATTTGAAATTGCAGTGTGAGTGCGTATTTGTTTGCATGCAGCAGACAGACTGGGAAGTGAGGAAGGCTTGTGTGTCTTTCCTGTCTGTATGTAAACACGATATACTATGCATGTCTGTTGTGACAACAATTTGTATTATTCATTATCCGTGTGTATTGTCTGTTGTATTGAAAGATGGAGATTTGATGATAATATGATGTAGTAACGAACAGTTCTGTTGACTAAACACCTAAAAAATGTTCTTTACTCCAACCCATCATCTATTAGGTCAAAGGCTTAAGATTTAGCTCCATTGTCATGACACAATGACACAATGCAAGACTGCACAATAAAATGTAGACATACAAATTGTACTCACTTGATTATTTGTGCAGTTATCTAGTCAGTCAATCATGTGACAGGAGTGCGGTGCATGAAATCACACAAATACATTCCAGGAGCTTCCGTTAATGTTCACGGCAAACATCAGAATGAGGAATAAATATGATTACAGTGGCTTTCACTGTGGAGTGATTGATGGTGCTAGACAGGTCGGTTTGAGCATTTCTCAAACCGCTGATCCCTCCAGGATTTTCAAGCACAACAGTCTCTAGAATTTATCTAGAATGATGGGGAAAAACAACAACAACAAAAAAAACTTGCAGCGTGCAGCAGTTATGTGGACCCAAATGCTTTGTTGATGAGACAGGTCAGTGGAGAACGGCCAGACTTGTTGGAGCTGACAGAAAAGGCTGCGGTACCTCAGATAACCACTCTTTACAACCGTGGTAAGCAGAACAGTACAATCGGAATGCACAACATGTCGAACCTTGAGGCAGATGGGCTACAACAGCAGAAGACCATGTTAGGTTCCACTCCTGTCAGCCAAGAACAGATATCTGAAGCTGTAGTGGGCACAGACTCACCAAAACTGGGCAGCTGAAGACTGGAAAAATATGCCATTCTGCTGTATTAGTTTTGAGCTGTGTATACAACACTGAGAGACAAAAGAAAATTGTCAGCTGTCAGAAATTTTGCCATATCAGTTCTCAGTAGCTGTCTTTTTGAATTAGGTTCATTGCTGGCAGTTTTGTAAATTAATGCGCATGGCTATTTTAAGACAATTTGGATTTACAAGATCAGTCTATTATTCAAAAACAAACTCATCTGCGCTTTTGATCTAAAAAGAGTTTCTCAATCAAGCATCTCAAAAAAAAAAAAAAGACATTTAATTTCCACCACTGTTAGCAACATTGTAATGAATATCACATGAATATGTATCAAGTAGCTTTTGACAAGTGAAGTATAAAACAATTACAGTGTTCTGCTGGGAAATCTTTGGTCCTGCATTCGTGTGGCTGTTACTGTGACGCATACAATCGACCCACACATGGTTCAACACTTGTGGCTGATGAGTGTATGTTGTTGTATCTGTTGTCTTGGCTAAGGTGTGCGGTGTGGACCTAAGAGATGCCAGCCATGAGCAGGCAGTGGAGGCCATCCGCAGGGCTGGAGACTCTGTCATTTTCCTGGTCCAGTCCGGACAATACAGATTTCAGGTACTGCTTCTCGGAAAACAACCAAAAGCTAATTTCAGTTGGCTGAGAATGCATTCAGTAGTATATATCCAGGTATGCATACATTACATTGTATAGCGTGAGTCTCCTGAGGTTCCAGATTCTTTCACACTGAATCTTAATACTCAGCAACTGCTAAGAGAAGTCACAGTGTATATCCTGTTGGAAAACAGTAGCAGAAGTATCAACAATGTAGTGCATGTGCATTCGTAGCATTGCAGTATAATGGCCACTGGACACAAAGAATATTGAATAAAAATATCTAAAAGTTTCTGCTAATATAATTCAACATAATACATTAAAATTATATCAGTGTTTCATAGTCATATACATATCAATGTGCATCTTCTGCATCTTGTGTTTCGCCTACAGTCTCCCACTCACATCAACCATGAAAGACTAACTCCAACACCACAGTCCAACTCACACAGCAGCAAGGTAACACTGCTCAATTAGAGACTTTAAAGTTTCATGGGTTTTTTTTTTCCTTTTAATGGAGATAACTCCGGTAACACTCTAGCCTTGAGATGATGATACTTTTCCACAACTTTTCTAGTACAGAAAGTCAGACGCATTAAAGTGTAAATCAAATCTACAGAGTTAAAGAGCAGTAGCTACTTTTTGTGTTTTAAAGGTCGTGACCACAACTTTAAATTTGTGTGGAACAGGTGACACGCTGTAAAGTCATTTTTCTCAATTTATGTTCCCACACAGTTACTGATGTTTGCCTGTGTATGGTTATAGCGACTAAAGAGTGTTATGTATGTGGTACTATATATATATATATATATATATATATATATATATATATAGAGAGAGAGAGAGAGAGAGAGAGAGAGAGAGAGAGCGATGAGTCATTAACACCTACATGCTAAGCTAAAAAGAATAAAGAAGCTTTGAAGAGTGTTTTAAGAGGTACATTTCTGTTATGGTAGTGATGCGTATAGAACTATATCTGTGTTTCCCCACATAATCCCAGGAAGCAGATACTCTCAGTGGTCTGTTCCTTAGTCTCTCCCCTGCAAACCCCTTCACTCCCACCCCGTTTAAGGTTGGTACATTGTTATCTGTGCATGTGTGTTACTATGGGTATGTAGAATCTTAAAAGCAGCCTTGCATTTGCATCAAGCCAACTTCCCCAAAACGTAATTAACGTGCATATTTGTGGATAGAACCCTTGTAGTTCAAAGTCCCTTGCAGCTACCTTGTTTGTTTAAACCCTTTGTTTTTTCCCTTTGATGGAGATGCATAACTCTAAATAGACAGTGCATTCTTTTGAAGTTATTTTTCCCATGCACTTATAAGTTGGTTACAAAATAATGCATGATTTTGGTCATCTTTCATGTTATTTTTAGCTGACATTAAAACTGCGTTCATTAATTCATCCTGTTCGTCAGTTTTTCCCACTGCTTCATCAAGGGCACCAAACAAGCCTCAGGGGTAGTCCAACTCATGCCTGAAGGACCCCTGAGGCATTTCAAACTCTGCCTGTTCAATAATGCAAAACTTCTCCCAAGGTACCATCGCCAACATCCGAGAGAGTGGATCGGAGAAGCCCCATAAGTGTCGCAGCACCAATCACAGCGGCAGCTGAAGACGAGGACGCCACTGGCAGGAGTAAGTCTTCACCATAAAGACGTCACACAGACATGCACAGAGATCCTCCAAAGCCCCCAGGAAAAGGAGATGTTGTGCCACACTCATCCATTCCAGGAGAGAAGATTGTAATACTGACACAAATGTCATGACTCTCACAGACATTCAAGTGTCACAATTTGGAACACAATTTAAGCCACATGAGTAAATCATCTCCATGCCATTTACATGTGAGTCCAGTTGTGCCACATCCAGGCTTTTACAAAAGATGTAAAAACTTTATTTCCTGGACAGCATGTTCTAAAAAACAACAACTTTCATTTGTATGAATGACTTTTAGTTTTTAAATAAGAAGTGGGACTTCGACTCTTCTTTGGCACTGGAAGTCTTATTAAAATTGCATCTAGTATTTGATTTGCTCAGTACACTTATTGCCCTGTGGGGTTTTCTTGTGAACAACAAAACTTTGTTTAAATTCCAACCATATCAATGGTCAAAAACTCTACAGTCTATGTGACTGTGTTTATTTACAGACATATAAATCAGAATAAATTCAATTATTTTTGCACATATGCACAAGTAAATACACAGACTTGCACTTGGTTTATTTCATGCCAACTCACCCAGATTTCAGAACTTTTTCAAGTTAATGAAAAAATTCCTGCAAAATCTTGGATGTAATCATTGGAACACCAACAATTTACAAACCCACATACACTTGTATCTGGTTCTGTATTTTAGTAATACAGTGCATTTGTGTGCATACATACACCTCCTCTCTTGGCGCAGACATGCACACGCAAGCCACATACAGTCATGCTTTATGCATTATACAGAAACTCAGATATCCTTCACCTTTCCCTCAACATAACTGATATCCCTTCCAGACAAATCACAGCAACTCACATGCACACTCAGTCTCCTCTGGGGTGCAATGCTTCTCCACATGTCTCCATGTGTCAGTCATGACATGTAACACGCCACTTTTTTGGCTTACCCTCCTCCTAACAACCTCCTGTTTGTTAACTCTGTCTCTCCCAGAAAAGATGCTTCAGCGCTATGGCAGCCTGTCTGGGAAGCTCCACATGATTGAGCTGGAGAAAGACCCCAAGGCTCACGGCTTGGGAATCAGCCTCATGGGCAACAAGGACGGCTCAAGGGCCCGTATGAGTGTCTATGTGGCAGATATAGACCCCCAAGGGCCTGCTGGTGTAGATGGCAGGATACAGGTTGGGGACGAGCTGCTCGAGGTAAGGAGAGTGAAAAGGAACAATAAGGAGCAATGAGTTAGGAGGGCTGAGATTAACAGACCAACAGAGTGGGATTTAAGAATCTAGAAGGGTTAGAGCCCTGAAGAGAGACTTAATATCAAAAATAAAAGCAGAAAAAAGAAGAGCAGTGGGTTGTGGGTTGGAGGCATGGATAAGAGGAGAGCATTGAGGACCTGCACAGTCGAATATTCATACAATTTACCATTTGAAGGTTGGTTGGTGCTGGGCAAGATTTTTGCAATGATCAACCGTGTAATAGAGATGAGGAGGAAAATCATGGGAGAGGAGAACCTGGTGGGTAAGTTGGGGAGGGTGTTGTTAGAATGAGAGGATGAAAAGGAAGACTTTTGAAGAGGTGAAAGGGATAAAAGAAAAGGATGCTGATGAGAAAAATACATTGTATAATGTTTATTTTTTTCTAGATTAATGGTCAGATCTTGTACGGCCGGAGTCATCAAAATGCCTCCACGATCATCAACAACATTCCATCTAAAGTCAAGATCATTCTCATCAGGTAGTATGATTGCCATGTTGCATTTACACATTGGGAAACTTTTACTGAGCAATAATAGGGTAACTTGTGTTGTTTTACCAGACACAAAGCAGCTCCAGGCCAAATGGTCCAGGGATTCAGAACGGAATGTGAGGACACAGTCGACTCCCAGACAAACACTTCAGTGTCTGGAGGATTATCCAGAGACATCGAGCACATTATCCTGCCTCAGGTACGATACCCTCAATAGGTCCGGGCTTTAACCACTCAGGCAACCAGTAGAACAGATACTTAATGCATCAAATCCTGTCTTGATGTTGAATTATAACTCTCCAGCATCACTGTAAATCTGATAGCAAATGCAGATTTTACACACTGTTGCATTTTTTTTGAAAATGGTCAAATGACTGGCAGCCATTAATGCCAAAGCAACAACATTAAAGAAGAAATATATATGTAATATCCTAATTCAAATAGGGTGCAAGAACAATACATTTGCTTTATCATTACATGTTTTACAGAAATAAAAGATTATTTTACAGATATTTTCTCAATTATTACAGTCAAATACCTTCAAAACCTGATATTAAAGTTTTGCATGTGTTACAGCGGCAGCTGGTTAATACAGGGCACAGGGGCGCCGCCCTCCCACTACTAATGCCCAGAAAAAAGTAGTTCTCAAACGTAAAATTAAATTGTAATTAATTATAACAAAGTAATAATAAAATTAATAATAACGTTCATATTCTTTTGATATATTAAGAATATTTGTATTATTAACTGATTTAATGTAAGTCTTTACTGTGTGCACACTAACAAATCTGACTTGAGAACGCCCTAGTTTATTATTTACAAAGTCATTTTTGGTCGCACACCGGTCAGGGCACACCACAGCCACCAAACAGCCACTAGCCCAGCATGCTGTGTGGGGCGTTTAGGGAACATCAGTAAATTGTAGCGTCAATCGATAAGAAAATGTTCAGCAACTCATATGTTTTAACTTTGACCAGATGAGAATGAGAAAGTGGGTCGTACTGTTGCTACCACTGAAAAAGTCAGTCTGGAGACCTGAATAGTGTTTTTGTTTTTTTTTTGTTTTTTCCCCCCATTATTTATGTTGTGTGTTTTGAGTTTGTACAGGTCCTGTAAATATTGCTGAAAGTTTGACGAATGGTTTTGAAATTTAGTTCTGGTAATTCTTGATAACGTTAAATTATATTATGATTAGAATATCCTCCAAAAGTACTCAATTTGCATTCCTGTAAATGGTTGTGCCTGATGTTACTCATATTCTATTTTCTGATTTTAAATAAAAGGTCATTTGCAGACTGTGCCCCCCCACCAAAAATTTTCACCAGCCGCCACTGGTGTGTTAACAGATACTCGTGATTGTTAAATTGCAGTCTTATTTGGGAGACACATAAAGTGCACACCGCTATTGATTCCGAACCACTTTAGTGTAATGTATTCAGACCAAAATCACAATATCAACCAATTATTCAGAAATAATTCTGCAGAGCCCCCCCCCAGGAGGCAACCCGGCTGGTGGGCTGCAACAACAAGTTGAGACAGCACCAGAGTTTAGAAAAATAAGGGTTTTATTTCAATAAATAAACACCTTGAGTAAATATCTAGGGGCAAAAGTGCAAAAATATAAGCAGCCATGAGAGCACGGTGAGCTCTTGCCGCAAGAGTGTGGTGACTCACACCTTCTCAGGTGGGGACAAATAAGGACGTGGACCACCCAAAAACTCTCATTCTGCCACTGCAACACCAGTGGAGATGCAAAGGGATGCAACATGCCTGAAAGATTCAAGCTCTGTTGCAATGCGTCTTTGTACAAATCTGTGTGTTATGTTAGATGTAATGAAAAGCTTTGCTGCATTTGTATCTGGAATTACAGAGTTTGTAAATGTAAAAGTAATGTAAAAGTTGACCGAGATATAAAACAAATGAGATTCGCTGTAAAATGTGAGGAAATATCTTAAATTGATGATCATATGGCCATAAACCATTATGTAAAGAGCTATTGTATGTATATTTCATTACTAATAATTAATGTCATTTTATGTAAATGTGCATGTAATTTAAGGAAGCAGAAATGGCGTATCCATAAAAGTTTTTTACATGCTATACGTAAGTTTTCTTTTTAAAAACAAGAAAGTAATAAATATAACTTGGCATTGTTGATATGGAACTTAATTTACACAGAATGTTTATACATTATAGACCTTTCTACACAAACGAAAAAACAAAAAACTACTTCAATTTTTGTTATTTTCTTAAAATTTGGTTGTTTTTTGGTTTTATTTAGTTTTTTACAGAGTGTATAACGTCACTAATTCGTGGTAAGAGTTTAAAGTTATAGTTTGCTTACATTGTCCCTTCTCCCTCCAGGATCATGTAGGTCTTGGCCTTTGCCTGGTGGAGGACGATTCAAAGGGAGGACTAGTGATCCGGTCTCTGACCCAGCATGGAACTGCCAGTAAGGTGTGACATCACCAATAGTGTCGCGTGCTTTAACATTTCCATCAATCACATAAGTATGTTCCCTATGCAGTGACTTCACTCCTTCAGTTAACCTACATTAACATATCTCAACTACTTCAGTGTTTCTCATTGAGTTACATTCCACCAGTACATTTTATTCCAACTTCTGTTTTCTCAAGATACTTCATGAAAACATTTCCGAAGTAAATTTCTGGAATAAATAATACAATATTAATGAAAAATGTGCAATGCTAGTTTCTTTTTACGTATAAAGACTCCATCTCTTGTGGCTTCATCACAGCAGAACTTATCATAAATTTAAGACTTACTTGCCAGATTTATTTAAGGACAATTTTGGCAGAACTTTGTCAGATTTTTTTCACCGATTCAGCCCCAGTATTTTGACTGTAGCAACCAGTAATCTTTTGAGAATAAAGAGGCATTGATGAGCACCATATTACTGTACTTAATGTGCAGCTGTTGACCGTACTGTGATGGCTCCTGTGTATTGGAACTTCTAGTCATTTTTAAAGCAGGTTAACCTCCGGATGATGTTTTTAAGTGATGTCATCATGTAGCATTAAGCTTTCATGTACAGCCCCAAGCAAAAAGTTATTCAGATATTTGTCCAGAGGGTGTGCTTGATTTTTAATCTCATTTCCCTTGTGCCTTTTCTTTTACACACACACTTACACATTTTGCTATCCTACATTTTGAATTCATGATTCTGTATGCAGGATGGCAGGATAAAGGTTGGAGACAGAATAGCAGCGGTGGGCGATGAACCTGTGGCTGGACTGTCGGTGGACAAGGTTCGAACACACACACATGCTCTACGATATGCTCTTCAAGGTCAAGTTGATTTAATGATTTATGACTCACCTGTCTTCTTTGTATTCAGGTGTCCAGTTTGATTCTCAAACACCGGGTCACTGTCAAGCTCTCCATCAGCCGTTCCAAGAGTCTCTCCTCCTCCTCCTCCTCCTCTTCTTCGTCCTCTCAACCTCCCCCTGCATCACTTTCCAACCCCTGCGCTCTCTCCCCTGCTTCCTCTCTAGTCCATCCTGTTCCCTCCTCCTCCTCCTCCTCCTCCTCCTCCTCTTCATCTGTCAAAACCATGCAGACCTCTCCAACAGAGAAATCTGACCAGCTAGGATCTGCTCCCACAATCTCTGACCCCGTGAGCTGCCCGCTCACAGCTGGAAAGGAAACTACGATAGAGATTTGTAAAGGAAATGTTGGCCTGGGCCTCAGCATTGTAGGAGGATGTGACACTCTGCTGGTGAGAACAGCCAAGTGATATTTGACATCAATATTTCATTTACCATTATGACCTGAATGGGCTTTTTTTTTTTTTTTTTTGTATGTTTGTATATCAACCTCGCAGCAAAATCTACCGTTGGAAAAAAAGGTGTAATCAAGCTTGTGTTTTACCCATCCTTAGTAACTCCAAATAATCAAGCTTTGCAGCATTAAATTACACAAAATGGGTTTGATGATGTTTTTTTTGTTTTTATTTTAATAAAATACACCTGCACCGACTGAGCTCTGCTGTATTGGATTATAGGTTTCTGTAATAATAAGAGTGTTTTCTTGTTTTTACACCAGGGGGCAGTAATAATCCATGAAGTGAATGATGGAGGAGCAGCACAAAGAGATGGAAGACTGCAAGCAGGAGACCAGATTTTAGAGGTATAATACATACACAACAAAACACAAAAATATACTGTTATGAGCTCATTTGTTTAAGTCTACAACATTTTTTAAAATTTATTTTTTCTCCATAAAATGTTTTATTATCCAAACCTGTTCTGACTATAGGCATCCCACACTAGTTCCATTATGCTGAGATATTTTGTGGTATTACTGTGTGCTGTTTTTATTTTTATAGCTTTTATTTACAATTCAGCTGATTATTTTCTCAAAGTTAATTACTTGCTATTTAATTTGTGACCCCAAATTAATGCTGATTACTTCTGTCCCTTGAAGCCATGTATGTCCATATTCAGATTTTTATGAAATACCGGCAGTTACATATTTCCTCGTGACACAACTTTATCCCTGTCACTCTCTCTACCTTGCAGGTAAATGGCATAGACCTGCGGCAGGCCACTCATGATGAGGCCATCGCTGTGCTGCGGCTCACCACCCAGCGAGTTCGGCTGTGCATTTTCAGGCATCAAGAGGCTTACAGGGAGGAGGACCTGTGGGACGTCTTCAGCCTGGAGCTTAGGCCTTGTCCCGGAGAGGGACTGGGCTTCACCACTGTGGGGAAGAGGTGCAGTCACGATGCTCTTTAATGAATCAAAAACCTCCAAGCTGTTATGTTCACAGAAGACTTGAGTGTCTTGCAGGTTCGATCTTGTGTTATCTGTGTTTCAAATCTTTGGTATAGCAAAGACCAAAATGAAATTTTGCACACGTGAATTAATTAAAAACTGTCAGAGGTTCAGAACCCTGGTAAAGCCACCTTAGATTTAGAGTTCAGAGTATTTGTTATCCAGCAGTGCACCAAACCACAGGCAGAGTTGATACAGAGATTTACATGCAGCTTTTTAATTCAAATCTGACGAAGGTGCAAACCCACCACCTGCCAACTATTGCACCTTGCAAAGGTCAAAAATAGGTGAGAAATAAACTAAATAAATTGCTTTTCTTATAGAAAAAGCAAGTGATTTAGCAAATGCGTTGCCTGTTTTTAAATCAAATTTATTCAAAATCTACTTCTTGTTTATAAGTTGAAGTTAGTTGTTTGACGTTTGGCTTATCCAGGATGCTGATATTGCCAAAATGTGTCAGTGAAAATTAACACTTATCAGTTTTTTGTCAATAGCTTCAAGACGAATCAAATTACACCCCAGTGCAACTGCTTTTTTTCAAAACTCACCAGTCAGGTGCACAACAGATTTTGTAGACTTGAACCAAATGTGTAGGATGGTTGTAAGTTTACCTTAACAGCAATCCTTTTAATGTGAACGAATTTAACATGTATAAATTTTATACATTTCAGAGGGGTTTTCATTTTTTAAGTACTTTAATTTGAAAAATGAATGTCATTGATCACAGTTTTTCTGATTTCTGATACAAAAACTATTCTTAGCCCCTTAGTCTTTCCTTGCCGTTTGTCAAGCATGTACAATAATAGAATATCTTTGGTAATAGAAAACAATTAAGGTAAACTCCCTTTTACAATTATCAGAAAAGGACATTGCTCTTGAGCTGGTAGACCTTTAATTGGTTGGAGGTCAGCGACTCTGTAGTAACAGAGAACATTATTGTCAAAAAAAAAAAAAAAAAAGGTGATGGACGCATAATGAAATTACACACTGTTCTGACATTCAGTAATTACTGTAGAGGTTAAGAGAGCCGCGCCATAGTGTCTCACTGCAAAGAAGACACGGGACACATTAAATCTAAAGAGTTTAGGTGGAGATTTTCATGCAGCTTCATGTATTTGCACAATCAACTGTGACATTATGCAAAACAGCAGGCTTACAGGTCACATAATTTATTCTACAAGGGTGGAACAGACATAGTTTTTGACCTCTGTTTTCTTCCAACAGTAATGACACGGGCATCTTTGTATCAGATATCATCAGAGGAGGCGTAGCGGATTCAGATGGCAGGTTGTTGCTAGGTGATCAGATTCTGTCAATCAATGGAGAGGATGTCCGTGCAGCATCACAGGAGCATGCACAGAAGCTTCTGCAGGTCTGATGAATGCTACACTTACACAGACCAAGTGTATAAACTAATAAGTATATATTTTGATGACTTCATGATTATGTGTCACTTTGCTCTCAGAGTTGCAGTGGAGCAGTTCACCTTGAGGTGGCCCGTTTTAGAGCTGGGGTGCAGTACTCAAAGCGAAGTCAGGTATGATGATTTTCTTGGCTTCATGTGTCAGGCAAAGAAAATATAAAAATGTACAGTATCATCAGCTGTTGAATTTGACCATTTTTTAGTTTCGCTATAATGATTAGTACGGTGATGTGGATTCAGTCTTTGATAGTTCACTCATTTTGATGTAGTCTGTAGTTCAACTATTACTCTTATGCACTATTTTAACAGTAGTACTTTGTGAACCTAGGAGTATTTTAAGTTTTGTTTTATCCAGAGTGAAGACTCCGACTGTTCCACCCTGACGCCCTCAAGTGCATGTGGAGCGTTCTTCAGCCACCAGAGGGAGACAGATAACAAAACAGGAAGTTACAGTGAGTTCACAAGTACTGTCTGAAAACAAAAGAAGTCGATAAATCCTGTTTATCCTTTGGATTAAAATTATGAAGAACAATTCACTCTGAGTGGAAAACATCCTGCAATCCAAATATCCAGAGATATATCTGTTTCTCTTCTCGTAGCATTTCAAGACTCTGACATCAGAAAAATAATAATACAAAAGGTAAGAAAGTCTTGAGATAATAATCAGTAATAGCTTTGATTCGTGTCCTGTGTAGAGAAACCTTATTTTAAGGACTTGATGAATATTTGTTTGTGACTCCCCGGAGACTTTGTTAAACATTTTATGTGACTAACACCAAATAGATATACATATACACACAGTATAGTACGTATACAGGACATTGTATATATTGTGTAAAACCTACTTACCTGACTGGACCTCAGGCTTATATAACATTAGGTGTTTATGTCATTTGCAGAATCTGCCATGTGGCTCACTGGTATTGTCTAATAGAGCCTATAATGTGTGTGTGTGGTATCACCACAGGGTCCATGTGACTCCCTGGGCATCAGTGTAGCTGGAGGAGTGGGCAGTCCCCATGGCAACGTACCTCTTTTTATTGCTTCCATGGATACGAATGGACTGGCTGCCAAAACACAGAAATTACAGGTGGGGAATGCCTATGTATATATGCCTATGTGTGTGTATGAATGTGTGTGTGTGTGTGTGTCTGTGTGCGTGTGTTATGTATTCATCACATTCTGGAAACTCAACCCCCTTCCAGCCATTTCATTTAGGGTTATGACTGCCTTTAGGCTTAAATGTAGATTTATGACTTGGTCACCCTTTTGCAAAAAAAAAAAAGTGAGACGGAGTCGCATACATACTGTCTCAACTCTGATGCATATTTATTAGGATAGAGACGAGTATTTTGACGAAGCTTTCTTTATCACGGTTTAAAAATGCATCTTATAGGTCTAATATTGGAGTTGTAATAGATCGCCTGATTGAACATATGTTACACTTTGCATGCAAAGACTACAGAACCCAGAAGAAATGCTCCATAATCAAATCATACACAAAGAAAACAACAAAAAGTCACAACATTAAAACCACCTTCCTAATAGTGTGTAGCTCTGACCTGTCGTGGCGTGGACACAAGTTCTCTGAAGGTGTCCTGTGGTACCAGTCCAACCCAGTCTCACGGCAATTCATGAAATACTTAAACTATTGTTTCCTGTCCTGCAACACGATTTGCCTGACTTTTTTGTGTTCCCCAGCACAAAATTCAAACCAATACATTTCAATTGGAATTATGTTTCGTGTCTGGAACACGTTTTTTTCCCAGCACATGTACTGTGATGTTTCTGTCGTTCTTTTCTTCCAACAGTCAGGCATTAAACAATTTTACTCTCATGGCCTGTCCACACAAATAACTATAGAGATCACAATACAGATGTGTGTGCCCACACTGACCAACGTTAACATGATGTAAACATTGGCACTGCTATAAACTCCGTATTCATTCAAATAGAAAAGACAAAAAATATATCCAGACAGAGAGAAGCTGTTCTGAGATTGCTCTGAAAGTGATCCCAACGATATCGCTCATATATTATCGTTTATTTGTAGTAAAATATAAGTGCTTTTACTGTGTTTGGGCTACATGTTCGTCGCTACTTTCATTTCTCTATAAATGAATACAACTCTGAAAAGAAGGACACATGCAGGAAATCAGCGACCGGAACATGTGCTGTGATCACAGCGATGGATAATCTGACTGTTTTAGTTGAGAGGCCAGCGGTGGGGAATGTATCCGTAGCTTTGTGAAGCTTTGTGAAGCTTGTTGAGGCTGGCTGCATTAGATACTAGCCTAGCCTAGCTGCTGCTGCGGCTGCTGCTTGTTCTTCTATTGATTTGGTGGTTGGCATCCAATGTTCAGGTGCATTAGCTGTGCTACCTGTGTACCAGGTGCTGGATAGAGCAGACGAAACTGCACACCTTTCTGGTAGAGGGCTCTCTCTGGGGAGAGTTAATCATCTGGCGCTGAACCACGGGGAGAAGTCAGCTTCAGAGCAGTGCAGATTGCTGATGAGGGACAGGTGCAGTGGAGAATGAGCGAGCCCTCCTCAGCCATGGCCCTGCCCAGCCTGCAACAACCATAAAACACAAAGCAGCCAAACAAACACAGGAAGTAAACTTGGCATAATAAAAGTCCAAACCTTAAATCCCAACAGCCTACCGTTTTTGAGTGCAACCGGTTTCCCAGATTAATTTCAGTAACTTCAGCTTTTCCCATTTTGCAGTGTACATGGCTGCCCTCTAGGATGATCCCCACTCTTGAAGGGTTTAGTTGTGGTGATACTGGGCTTGCAGCGCTGTTGTCCTCATAGCAGAAGATTCTCATTACGATTTGAGAAAAAAGACAAAGCAAGGATATTCAGGTTAACAGCAATTTGTCTACAATCAGCTATATGGCCTTCTTAATTGTTATATTTTTTTCTAATTCATTGTGGTCCTGTTTTAGGTAATGTGTAAACAAGCTGTTAGAGCCATTTTTGTGTGTGTTCATGTAGAGGTGCTCATGTTATGACAGTCGGTGGTTTATTGGACAATGTGATATGTGAATGTATACATAGAGAAAGGGTTAATTACTCCTCAGGTGTGCTACTGGGGAGAAACACACAGTTTTTTGACCAGAGTTTTAGTGGCTGAATTTGAATCTTTTTGTTTATTTTGCATACAAGTACAAGTTATTGGGACAAGTTTGTGCAGATCAATAAAGGCAGTATTGGAAATACACTGGAAATGTTCGGATTCCTGCGCAAGAGCCTGCGCAAACTATGCCTGGACTGGAAGTTCCAGCAGCAGCCCCTCACTGGTTTAGGTTTTTTTGTTTTCATAGAAATCAAGTCACTATACATGACTATGAAAGCAGGGAAAGGGCTCAGTTCTGGCTTAAGTTCCATGCTTTAGCCTATAATGTTTGAAAAGCTGTGCTCTCTTCTCACAGATTGCAGGGCAGTATTTGCATTTCCAAGGCATTAAATTGAGGCTTTAAACAAAAATAGTAGGGCTAATGTTAAGAATGAGCATTTACTTTTTCAAGACTACATTGAAATAATATCAATTCTGTCCTACTGTAGTAAAATTGTAATTATCAAATGCTTACTATTTATCTAAGTCAACCCCAAATTTACGCACATTCCCATGCTAGAAAAATATTAGCAGTTTCTGATTAGTAGTACTTGAATGGAGAAAACAGCTTACCTAGTTCAGACAGAAAATGGTATCCGCTTTACTGCAGACAAATGTCCTTTGAAAGGGTCGAAACTTGTGAAAAACTGAAAAATGCAGGCAGAAAAGGTTTCGTCCAAGGAGCATGCAAAGTGCAAAGGCCTTAAATTGCTCTGTGAAAATGGAGCAAACTTCTCTGTGTCCTTCAATGGTCAAGCCCAGACTTACCTGAGTTGTGAGCCAATCAGAATAGGGCAGCAACTGTGGCCTGGTTTAAGTTTTTTACTTAGAAAAGTGAGTACACCCAATGACTGTCTCAAACACTCTCCATATACTCATACTGTTTAAGTAATGCAACAAAACTAACTTTTTACAGTGGTATTTACTCAAATATTGAGTAGAAAGAACTTCCGGGTTAACAGTGTAGAGAACATGGAATACATCCAAAAGGATTTAATCTAACTCAATACAGTTCCCTTACGGGCACATAAGGTCAAGATTGAATGTGTGTGTCTGTGTGTCAACTAGACAGGAGACCGAATCCTCAGTATCAATGACGTGCCCACTGAAGGAATGACTCACATCCATGCCGGAGTGCTGCTGAAGAACGCCACTGGAACCATCAGTCTGCAGGTAGTGTCACAGTGAGCCATACAGCGGTTGATGTGTAATGCCTGTGAGGCAGTTAGTGAGTCTCTGAGATAATGTCAGCAAGTTTTTGTTCTGCATTGTCAGAGAAAGACAGTGATGCCTCCTGGCCCGCTTCCTCTAGGTCATCTTTACTTTAGCATTTTGTTTACACTTTTATAAAACTCACCGAGACCCAATGACAACTCAGAGACAAGTCTTAAACAGTGGAATGAAAGACATTCGTGTGTAGCTTCAGCACACACTGCATTATCAGTGTTTTGCACATACACTGTGCTGTAATTTCAGTGTGTCTGACACTGATTTCACACCGTCTTCCTGTATTAAGCTTCTGGAAAGATTTCTTTTTTTGCTCCAAGGGGGGAAATGAAGTATTTGTAAGGAGATATGTGTCAGTTGGTTTTGGCAAGTATGCTGCGTTTCAAATGAACATCAAAAGGTTTTGTGTTTTTCTAACTCCCACTGTATTAACATTAGTACAGGCACAGTAATGTTATTGGAGCCATCAGATGTCTGAATGTTGGCCAACAAGTTAGCTTCAACTCTTGCAGAAATTCTGAATCAAGCTATTAATAAGTAATAATGAAATATATACAGTGCCATGCACTAAAACTAAACGAGGATGCTTTCAAAAAACAATGCTATGAATTGTTTTTATCAGCTAACTTCATGCAAAGGAAAGTAAACAGAATATCATTCACTAAATCCAAGCATTATTTGGTGTAACTGTGCTTTGCCTTTAGGTACACGTGTGCACAGTTTTTAAGAGGCTGCTTAAAGCATCTTGGACAACTTCTGTGGATTTTCTTCTGTCTCTTAATGTTATCCTGGCCATGCTCAGATGCAGAGTGAATCAGTCCTCCCCCGTGGATAAGGATAGAAAGTGCCTGAAACATTTCCTTAGTACTGTATATAGTTTGATAACACACTGTGTATGTGTGCGTCTAGGTGGCAGCAGATTCTAGAGAAAGCAGCGCAAAGGATCACAGCAACGCTCGGCCGGCAGGTCAACCCGGCAGCCTGACCTGCTTTCACAACAACCTCTGGTAAGACTGGGTTTCCTTCAATCTCCAGCGCATTGTACTTTATGATCTTGCTTTGGTTCTCCCCTTCTTTAATCACTGAATAAGACAAAACATTAGACCCCAGCAGACTTCCCTGCTGAGCCGACGCAACACTTTTCTTTTAAAAGCATCCACTGTTTTGCATTTCGTTCCCTAAAGTGCTCGCACATATAAGACCATCACTCTGGAGAGAGGCTCCTCAGGCCTGGGCTTCAGCATTGTAGGAGGGTTTGGCAGCCCTCACGGAGACCTGCCGATCTACATCAAAACTGTCTTCAGCAAGGTGAGAGAACATCCAACAGGCTTTTTTTTTTTTTTTTTTGGGCGGGGGGGGTTTAAGGGTGTTGATGTTAGGAAAGAGAGTTTAACGGCAGTCTGTAAATCAGTCCTCAGCATCGACATCACACGGGAGAGCTTTTTCTCTCATAAACAAATCAAGCCTTTCTCAGGCACTGACCAGTCTTTGCTATCAAAGGCGTATGTTTTTGTTAAGTGTATGTTTTTATTCTACGTGTACCTGTGTGTGAGAAAACTAATTTTCATCCATCACAGAATGATGCTCAGTCATGGCACAGTGTTTGTCTTCTTATAAGTAAGGTAGGCAGCTACAAATTCAGGCTGCAAACATGATTGTAACAGCTGTGAACTCTTAGCGACAGAATAACAACTGAGACTAATAATTGTGTGTGTGTGTGTGTGTGTGTATATATATTTATATATATACTGTTGCACTATATCAAAAGGCATTTTTTATTTTTATATAAATGGTTGTTTCATCATTTAGAAATCATTCCAGGATCATTTTATTTTCTTCTACTTTTCTTCATAAATATGTTTTCATCATTATTATCATTATCAGCACTGTGTGTGATCTCTGATGGCGGACCTGTCTTTGTTCTCTACAGGGTGCAGCCATAGAGGACAGAAGGCTGAAACGTGGAGATCAGATCATTGCTGTGAATGGACACTGCCTGGAGGGTGTGACTCACGCTGAAGCCGTGGACATCCTGAAGAAGACCAAAGGAACCGTGGTCCTCACCGTGCTCTCCTGAGATGCGGCCCATCGTGCCCCGTTTTGATTTAATCCTCCCAAAATAGCCCTGAACGGATGCAGCTGCTTCTCGAGGAACTGCTTCACACAGACCCAAGGAGGCGACCAAGGACAGTTTAAATGACGTAGTTTTCATTTGAAATCATACAAGGAGTAGATGGTGTGAGTCTAAATTTATCTCTGTTTAGTTTGGAGAAGCTACCTCTAACCGCAAACACAACTCGGGTGCGTTGCGCACATGCACACAGTGTTTCCAGTATATACTATTCCAGTGAAGGTTTTATTTGAACTCATCTGTTTATGTTATAGTTTATACCCCCTAATAATGAATGGATCAAACATGCGAAAAAATTACCACAGAAAAGATGCAGAGATCAAAGGACCAAAACTGGGCGATAAACAAGCCAATACCACAGTGTTCAGCTGGTGATAAGTTCTGTCTTAGCTGTCGTATTTAGGATATTTAGAATATAGTTGTGCATTGATGTGCAATTTTGTCCATGTAAACACGCGATTAAATCACTATCCTCAGCTCTTCTGCATATGTTGACCACACAGGTGAACGCATTAGTAAACACCTCTTGAGCTGCAACGTGACATGTATTCGCAGCACTGTTATCTCTCAAATGCTGCTCATTCAGAGTGAACAACTGCGATGAACTCCTAAGACCCCGTACATGCCAAGTGCTTCTGCCAATCTTTTATATGGCAATAAGGTTTTAGGATTTTTGTTTTAAAAGACCGTGCACCTTTCATCATATTCCATAATGGTAAATATGATTTCTTGGATGACAAATGTCTGACATGACATGCTGACGATTAGCGGTGATAACTACCTTATGTTAAGCAGGTAGAAAAGGGAAGAAGGAAAAAAAAATGTGCATTTTTGTTACATCTGTTAAAGCAGCTGCTGAATATCATCTACTTACCATTTTATTATTTATTAGTGTTTTCACAGTCTTTAACTTGAGCAGCTGTTTTTTTGAGGGTTTTTTTTTAGGCCTTTAAGAAGGTATTGTTATTGTGTAATGTGCAATCTTTATTTAGAGAGCTTATTGTGTCTGTTTTGTATTCATTTATTTACACTGTGATGCTTGTTTTTTCTTCACTGCAGTTTATTTAAGTGAATAGTAGTCCTCATAGCCACACACTTCTGTGTATGGCATTGTGTAACATTGTGTAACTGAATCTACTATAAGTGATCTTATTAAATGTGCATTTGTTAGAATTTTGTATCCAAAACTTTTTTTTTATTTTTTATTCTCTTCATTTAGAAGTATGTGACAAATAAAAGGAAAAGCTAGAGGGTTGTAACACCATTCTTCAGGAAGCTATTCTCTCTCAAGTGGGTTTGGATCTCTTGAGTGTAAAGCCCCCAGCGTGTGATTTATGTCATTTTCACACTCACCAAACCACTCAGTGACCCCTTGTGCCCTGTGGGTGGGTGCATTGTCATTCTGGAAGATCCCACTTAAATTTAGATAGAAAGGTTTCGTCATTTAGATGAAGGAGAACACTCATAACGGCTAAATATTGACTTACAATGACCTTTTCCTCTAAGTACACCCAAACCATGCCAGCTAAATGCCTCCAACAGCATAACAGAGCCATCTGATCCTCTCACTGCAGGGGTCAAGGGTTCAGAGTTTTCCTTTATTGTGTCACTTGTCGGCAGTCCTGGATGTACCTCTGCGTTTAAGGTCAGAGTGAAACAAGCACCTTAGATATGGTTATATTTTAATGATGGATGACAACAACCCAGAAATCTTTTTTTTTTTAGTTGATTCTTTGTGATGTCCCTCTGGAATAACACTGAGTCAGATATGCCAGTGGATATCACTTCTTTTTTTTTTTCTTTTCCAAAGCCCACCGATGCACACCAGAGAGAAGTGTGTGTGAAAATCGGAAACTCCTGAACTGTTAAACAAGTGTGCTTGGGCCTGAAGTCACATTTTTAGATAGATGCAAGAATTTTTTTGCATTTTATGCATATTTTTGCATCTATTTCCAAAACCAGTGAACTGCATTTTGCTTTGGAAATGTTTTACTGTAGTGCCTGTACTCTTTGTCTCCATCTCTCTCTCGCTCTTTCTCTTTGTCTTTGTCAAACACGAATACATTTTCAGAATCTCTCAGGTTTAGTCAAGGTGACGGGATGAAGTGCGTGTCGTACATAGAATGACAGGCAGCTCTAAATCACGGGGTAGTCGAGAGGAAAAGAGAGGAGAGGAGAGGAGAGGAGAGGAGAGGAGGATTAGTTGGAGGAAAAACAACAGTCTATAAAGCTGAAGAAATTAGTTAGGACGACATTTTCAACCTGAGTCAGAGAAACACCGAGGGAGAGTAAACCTGTGCCATTTTTTTGTAAGTGCACAGAACTTTGAGTTTAATTACTGGAGTTACTGGTGACAACTTGACAAACAATACATTTGCACACAAATGTCTCATTTAGGAAATAGGAGGTATCTAGGGAGATCCTGTCTGGAGCCTCCGCATTAATCAAAGCCATCTGTTCACATTGCAAGCTTTATTGAAACCCAGCCATCGCAGTCTGGTTTATCCTTCTCCAGATGAACAATCGCTTGCCTGCTGGCATGAGGAGGGTTTTAAGATGGAGAAAAGGCAAAATGCTTTTTTTGTGCATTTAGCTTGGATGTCCCCTGCAATATAATAGCTGTTCTTTTGTGAATAATAAAATGTCTTCTTATATGTGGTATTTGTTTAACATTTAAAACACACTTTAACTTTCTGCGTTCACTTCAATAGATTCTCCTACAACTCTTGTGGGAGTAGCAGGGGGCAGATGCATTTACATCTCTCTTTCTTCTTTCTCATTAAGCATGAAAACTGAGGTGCTGGTTTTCACACCGAAGCTCAAATTCCCTCTCCCTCAAACATTTATGAGGAATATAACAGCAGGTCACAGGAAACGGGACCTTTTCCACGCTGTGTCTCTTCATACACTTTTTTCCACCACGTAGACGGCAGTACAGCGATTTTAGTAGATGCTAAAACTGTGATGGGTTTTTTTTTGTTTTGTTTTGTTTTTTTGCGGCTGAAAATAAAATGACTTTCATAGGAGCACACTTGAAAGGCACTAATGATCCTGTTTCTCATGAGGAAAGCGGTGGCCAAATGATTGTACTATGTGTGACTGTCGCATCTATCCATATTCATAAATCCACAGGATTGTGTCTTTTTACTGTCAGTGTAACCTGGTGGTAAGGAAAGAATAGCCAGCAGATGATAGATCCCAAAAAAAGCTCTTCTTTCTCCATCCATTCCCATGGGATAATTTTTCAGGACATCAGCCTGTGCTGCAAAAATGCCAATCCTAAGTAATTCAGTCCAGTGCTGAGTCTTGAAATCCTGCTCCCCTCTAAAGCAAGACAAAAATACCTCAACAGGGAAATTCAATGTAGCCACTGTACTGAAGGTCTACAGTTAATCACAGCAATCAAAAGGTGCCACTAGTTCCATGTCATTCCCCAACGCTGAGTTTAGGTTGTCATTAACAAATGAGCTGGACTGATTGGAAATTTGGCATAGAGAAACACGCATACCTCTGTCATCCATTTTTATTCAGTGGCATAGCCTGAAGCAAAAAATAATTAGACACAGTCATGCGGTTAGAGCAGAGAAGCACTGCATGACATGCCGCATTATCTGGTTATAGAGTTTTAAAAACCACTCTGTCTTATTAAAACAAGAATGTGAAGGTCAAATAATTTAATGCAGATTATAAGGACTTTTTTCTGCCCTTTAACTATTCATTTTGCTGACTACTTTTTAGACAAGACATAGCCTACAAAGGCTTTTTTTGCCGTTGTGTTTTCAATCCATTTTCACTTTTTAAAAAAAGTTATTTGTCCCAGAGTTTCTCACAGTTGCATTAAAGCTTCTTTCATGAAGTTGTTCTTTAGTCTGCCAGGAATAAAGTTTTGTTCGTTTTTTTTCATGTTTCTTTATCTCCTCTAACTTACAAATAATCGAAATGGGTCTAAAAGGCTTACTATCTCCACTGTTCAAAAACCACAATGAGCAGCTTTAATTTATCAACATGAAAATGCATCTCCAGCACCATAATCCTCAGAAAAACAAGCGCAGACTCAAACATCAATGACTCACAGCCACCACGAACGCAACATGGAATCATTAACAGTGCATGCTGCGCGCCTTTGTGCGTAATTGCGCATGGCCATGCGGCCGTATTTTCTGGCACACTCCGATTCAAAGGCTGCATGTGGCCTTCTTTGTGTTGCAGACGGAAAGGTCATTAGAGAGCAGATGAAGTATTTATCTTTTTTGTGGTGCAGTTCAGAAGCCGCACTACCTGCAAATTATATCGGTTTTGTTCGAGGCAAGACATGCCTTCCTGACGCTGCTTCTAAACCGAGAATGGACTGTGCAGGTATGTAGCAGCTTTAAAGTGCCATTATCGTAGTTAATGGTGTAATTTGGTTAAAATTCCATAAAGATTTGAAAGTCATATTGAAGTATTTGGATGGATCTATCGCGATCGAGTCCCCAAAATAAATAATTCAGGATATTTTTCCTTTTTTGCGTCAGGTATGCTGGAACAAAAGGTCTTCGTTATTTCCTACATTCAGCAACATGTAGGATTTAGGATAGTTCAATAAGTAAAAGAGGTGAACTAAATCGCGTTTCTCCTTTCGCAGTAATGCCTTATGTCCACATGAGGGCGGTGCGTGTGCTCTTATTAACACATGGAAATTTGCATGGACTTGATCTGGCTCATTGGTTAGAAGTAACATTACATCTGATGTGATTTGCCAGTTGGCCTCAGGCTTCAGACAAGGAAATTTGCGCATGCAGCTGAAGGCCTGCAGCATAAAGACCTGTCTGTGGTGTGCTCATACAGTGCAGCTTTTTGTTCACAAAATGGATGAAGTGTGAACACAAACATGCCATCTGACTGTATGACATCATCCGACAGAGAAATGAACTTAGTCTACATTCATGTAGCAGCAACATCTAGTTGGCAGCTGAAAAGGTGAAATTATATTTAGAGTCATTATATGATTGAGTTTTGACCTCCAGTGGAGATTCATTCGAAGCTGCTTCAGGTAGTCTGACCCCTCGGTTACAGTCTGACCCGTGCTGCTGTACGCGCTAAACAAAAGATCCACCAGACCTGCAATTAATAACAAATACAGACGTGGACACGACAAGCTCTGGGCTCCAAACCAGTTCAATTTTATTAGAGCAAATGGGGGAATAAAAAAGAAACACAAAACAAATGCATGACAGTTTAAAGGCCTCAATAGAAGAGAGTGGGTTTACACAACAGACTGGGATTTGTCCAACCTGCGGTCATCCTCTGAGTAGCGTCGGAAAGTTTCCCCCAGCAGCGGCTCCAAGGCCTCGGCCGAGCGGTAGGAACGAGCTCGCACAGCGCAGGCAATGACACCGCCCACCACAGCCACCACAAGCACCGCAGCAACAACGGCCACAGTGATGATCTCAGACAAGGTGAAGGCACGAGCTGTAAAAAAAGAAGAGGAGGGTCATCAGGGGACACTGAGTTGTGTGGATATGTATGTGTGTGTGCTGCAACTCACCTGGCCACTGGACCTCGTATGAGTATCCCAGGTTTTCTGGGGCAGAGACAAACATCTCAGCATTGGTGACAGGAGGCCAGAAAGGAACCATGTTGAAGCGGCGGTTGTGTCCAATAGGAGCATTCTCCTCGGGGTAAACGATTTCACCTGCAGGCGGGAAAAATATGTTTAGTCGTCCTTAAAAGTGAAATATATTGCTGTTTCTGGGTGGGACTTCGTCTACCTGGTTGGTGCCTGCGGAGCCACTCGTCGAAGACTGCGTCAGTGAAGGTGTGCAGCAGAACAAAGATGGGATCGTTGGGCGACAGGTGAGTCTGTCCACCTGTCCCGTTGAGGAAGAGGTGGGCCAGATTGTGGAGGCTGCGGATCACTGGGTCATACATCCCCTGGGGGGCGCTGTAGCCTAGAAACCATGTAACAAACAAACAAGAAAAAAAATTTTAATGAAAGCTGTGATTTACCAAAATTAGGGACAGCAAATGCTGTGATGGAGCTAACCATATGTGCATGTGGGCGGAGGATTGAGTGAGTGTGTTTTTGGCTTCGAGTTTGTATCTATACAGTCACACAGTACTTCAGCTTTATTTTCAGAGCTGAGCCCAGAATAAATCCCCTTTGGTCGATCTGAGGATGCTAAATCCCAGCTCCCGCTCCGGCTATGACCTCTGACTCATAGTCACGCACCTTCAATGGTGTTCCTGAAGCTCTCAGAGGAGGTGGAGTAGTAAGGAGGGGTGTCGAAGGTGTTGAGCTCCAGACAGTCCAAAACATCCTTGGGCTCGGGGAGTCTCTGCACCATGGGCCGAGCCACGTTGCCCGCAGGGTTCCTCCTGATGGGACTGCTCTCTGTACCTGAGCGATGAAGAGAGAACCCAAGGTTAGTAACTCGAGTAAAACATAATTACCCTCACGATAACACAATGACAGCGTAGTTGTTGGTTAGCGGGTCACTCAGATAGTAATTCAGACTCAAGCTCGTGTTCTCCACAGAAATGGAGAGAAATCTGATTAGAAATGTTGTATTATTTAACCACTCTCTAATTCTGTGTGGGAGACTCAACTCGCTTGATCTGTCTTAAACATGACAGGATGGCAGTTTTCTTGTTTTAAATAATTCAATAAAAGTCAACAATAGTGAGTTGGAGCTTTGTGACTGAACAGAAGTTTTTTTTTCTTCTTCTTCTTCTTCTCTATTTCTTGCATGCATGATCTCTTTCTTTCTTTCTTTCTTTTTTTTGTACTTTCTCTCCTACACACAAGCACATAAACAGAAGGCTACATAACTGAGTTGTCTGTCTGTTTGAAGATTATTCCCTCAGATCAAAGGAACCAGTAGACTGCTAGATTCCTGTCTTCAACAAGCACATGCACAAATGAGGCAACCCCCCCACCACCGCCCCCCCTAACCCATTTAAGGAGACGTTGCTTGTTGATGCAGGAAATACCAGGCCTCTCATGACTCTCTGAAGGGAGTAATGAGACAGATCGCTCAAGTGTCAGCCTCTCACATGTCCTACCTGTTACCAAACATTTTTTTTTCTTACACATTACACAGTTTTTAAAAAAAAGATCTCCCTTTTATTGTGCTACAGTGAAAGATGATTGACATTTTAATTATTCCAGATGAAAGAAATAACTGTGTGTGCTATATTGGAACACTAAAGCAAAGGTAGTGATTTAGGTGCCAGTGTGGAACGAGATCCAATCCCTGCAAATCTGATCACCTAAAGTCTTGGCTTATGCAGCTTATTACGGCATAAAAGTTCCCTTATTCTAGTGGAAATCTCATGACACTTTGGGATTTAACGCCGGAAATCCATTGTATGTTCTTCTGTTGAGAAATTAGGCTGAATTGGAAAAAAAGAATCTGAATCTAGTGTGCAGTAGAGAAGGCAATGTTTTACATCTAAAGTAGTTCCAAACAAACTGTAGTAATGGCGAGCAATATCGAATTTAGCACAACAGCTGTGAGGTATTATTTATAGTAGCTTATGTTCTACATGCTCGCTTTATGAGCTCTTTGCCCTCTTTTTTCTGATGCAGCTGAGGCGGCGCTGTATATCAACAGCTACTGAGAGGTGTGGCGTGAGATTCCTGTGATTGTCTTTACTGTTGCAGATGGTGCCCAAAGTGTCGTAGTCCTCCACACTCTCGCAGATCACCCTCCACTGAGAGAACACGGAGTTGGTGCTGATGGAGTTCATGTCGAATGAGCTCCTGGCTCCCAGCAGGTCGTCGGTGCAGATGTCACACTCGCTGCCTCCGATGGCAAAGTTCCAGTAGGGGAGGGCGAAGGTGGGGTCGCTTAGCATGTCCTGCGGAGACGGAGGGTGAGAAGAAAGGTGTTCAAGGGTGGTTTGAATGATGCATGAGTGTGTGTAGAAGAGTTTTTCCACATTTTTCACATTATCTTCTCCAACCTTCCTCTTCAATACTCCCTCTCTGTTACTCCCATCATCAACACCCACCCCATGTCCTCACTACCTTTCCTTCCTACTGTCCTCTTCTTCCTCCCTACCTTCCCTCTACTCACCTGCATGTCCCTCTCCAGCTGCAGCAGATGAAAACGATGCCATGTGACGAAACCTGGGCCCTCGTGGGAGAAGTCTACGCCTCCAAAGCTGGTCTGTCCCGGCCCCAGGTATGTCTTACTGACAGAGTAGTAGTGGCTCCAGACAAAGTAGTTGTAAATGGTGATGTTCTCGAACTGTGGGGTGTTGCCATCGGGCCCAAACACCTCCTGGTACCTAAAAGATAAGAGGGCGAATGTCACTGTGTTTATCCTCCAGACTCCAAAAGTAAAAGGATGCATGCGTTTATCTAAACCACACACATATGTAGAAATACATTAAATTCATCGATGTTGCTGCCAAAGGGAACTAATAAGGAGTGGCCTGTAGCTCAGAACCCGGGCATGGCCATTAATATAGCAGAAATAAAAAAATTTTGATTAGAAGTTAAAAAAGGTTTTGCTACCTGCAGGTGAGAATTGCTCTAAAAATTAATCTGCTTCAATCCTCGGCTGACTCAGAAGGAGGTTATTCACAGATTTATGTACAGTTATTTAAAAGATTATAATTCCCTTTGCTCCTGCCTAAACTGATTATTTGCTCTACCTGCAGCCTGTACAGAAAGCTACCACAAGAACATTTTATGATCTTACCAATAATTTCAAAATGCCCAGCAGGACTGCACCCTTAGCTATACTGGTAATTCAGATAGTTTAAGCCTACAGGTTCTTGGGAAATTGTAGGGTGTTCCACTGTTTTGAGACCTAAGTGTGGCTGTTTAAAAAAAATCAATCCTCCTTTGTACTGCGGTTATTTAATCAATTTTAAGTAGGCTTATGTTATTATACTTATGTACCTTCTTGTGCAGATGACCAGGTCAGGGTGGATGGTTCTCTTAGCTCGGTCCAAAGCGTTCACAAACGCCTGCTTGTCAGCTGTGCTCATCTGCATGATATTCCTCCTTACTGGAGCGAGGTTAATGGGGTGGAGGAAGACAGGAGGGAAGGAAGAGAGAGAACGAGAGGTTGTCGAGGTGTGGGAGGAACGAACGAGGAGCAGAGGAAAGAAAATGTTATTAAAAATTAACACAGACATTTCCTTTCTCTGGCAATAAATGCCTTCATTCCCTCGGCTGATGTAGACCTGTGAAATCTTAAAGGGCACAGCAGGACCCAGAAAATTAAAAAAAAGTTGCTTTGAATTTTTTAAACCCAAACAGCATCCGTCCTCTTACCCACAGATATCCTCTGATCACAGTTTGGTCCGGTCATCCCATGTCTGCATCGCCCACAGTTGTAGCCAGTGAAGTTCCCATTGCACTGGCAAGTGCGGTTGAAAAATCTCAGCGGCCACCTCTCCCTGTCGTCACGGCCGGCATAAGGGTACTGAGGTCCATGGCGGCGGTTGTCGGCAGCGATGCTCACACACTGCCCTCGTCCTGTGCTGGAGCCACACTCATCCCCTGCCACCCCTGACAGAGAGGGGCAGCATTGGCCGCTCAGCAGCCCCGCAGGGGTGACACACTCCCGGGGGAACTGGGCCAGCGTCAGGCTGGCACACAAGGTCACCACCAGGAGACTCACTCTCCACATGCTACCAAAGTCCAAAAAAAAGAGGGTCAAAGTTAGATGGTGGAGTAAGGACAGAGTAAAGTAGAGATTTTAGAAAATACGGAGAGAGTTGGTATGCATTACGTGTCTAGATTTTTTTTTTACATTCTTTTTCTAAACCACTTATCATGTTCATGGTTGTGAAGAGGTCGGAGTCTCTCCGAAGAACACATTTTGTAAGATGAAGACAAAAAATTCAATACACCACAGACGTACTTACACTTCAATTAAGCTCAAGAACAACTCAGTCGGTTTGTGTTCTCTTGTTAAAGCCAATTGTCTTAACATTATTCCAAAACTTCACTTCTTACACGCCCCTGCAGGCAGTACGAGTCATTATTCATAATTCACAAAGCCATTAGCTTTCAACTCTTACAAGTTCAGAAATGCTTTCAACAATAGACGACAAGAGATGATTTGCTTCAACCTTTTTTGTAGTTAGATTTGCTTGTCTTTTGAAGCTTGTTGATTAGGAATGAATGAAGGAGTGACTAATAATTTGGCAGGAGCAATTATTTTACAACAAAACAGTGATAACAACCACTCAAGAAAAGTTACCAATTAAAACACAAAAAGGAAAAAAAACGGGGAACTGTTCTACATTTTTGCACCTCTGTAGAAATACAGCACATTTGGAATGATTGAGGACTCGTCGGTACAGCGCTGCCTGGGTTTTGTGTGAAGTCTTTTGTATGTCTCCATCCGAAATAAAACCTGATTTCATCATCTGACTTAATTGTACATTTGTCTCGTGTCTGCTTTCAATTTGTAAAGGTGCCGAAGCAGTCATTCATACCAGTAAGTTGTAAGACGTTCTGCATTCTACAGTTCATTATGTAGAAAAAGAATCAGTGTAATGTGTTCCCCCTACCTCTGACTGTGCATGCTGCTCCTCTGTTTGCAGAACTGTAGCCCCCCAAGAGTCGGCCCATTTCCCTCTTCTGTCTTAAATAGCTATCAAGCACATGACCGGGCCTTTCTTCAGCTTGTGTAAGCACACACACACACATACACACAGAACACATGGGTACACTTGAGGGTTCTCGAGTGCGCTCTGAAACACTCATTCACATGCCTTGTGATCAGAGCCCAAATGACGCTGGTCCGTGTGGTCACTCACAAAAGACTCAACTGTAAGATAGCGTTCATGCTTGAGTCATCCTGGAGAAAAGGTTTGTGAGTTTCAGCCACACTGTAAAAGAATGTTAAATGGTTTTAACTGTAATTTAAAAAATAATTTATGATTATTTAATAGATTTTCCCTATTTTTGATTGCAGATAATAAAATCAAGCAAAAAAAAAAGTCATAATTTACTTGTTAAGTGTACATGAAGTAATGTAATTTGTTTTTTCATAATGTCTAACATTAACAACAAATTAATGTTTTGCTGTATTTAAATCAGCTAAACTAGTATTCATTTACACATATTTGACTTTTTTTTTAAAACTTTTCTTTAGCAGTTTTTGAATGTCAGTATTCCACCATTTATTTGCTGGCACCCCTTTTACCTGATTTGCACTGCTTTTTTTTTCTTTTTTTTTTAACAGGATAATTTTTTACAGTGCAAGTAACAACATGCGAATGTTTTATTATCTGTGAAGGCAGACAGATGACTGACAGAAAAAAGCATGCAAATTTATGGGCTCAAATGATCAAATATCTTAAACCTTATCAGTGCAGAAAAATCCACAGTGGGAGGCAAGAAGGGAGAAACATTTTCAACATTATATATATCAGTATAATATATCAATAATATCAATATATATTTTTATTTCGTATTGCTCAAATCATAAATGATAATACAAAGGTCAAGAGTTACGTCGAATAAAAATCAAATCGAGTTTTAAAATCCGTCTCAGTAATGAAAAATCCTTTATTTTTCTTGTAGGCCAGTGTTGTACAGTTTAATGAGGCTGCTCAGATATAGCACTCTATGGTACTGCCAGCACTTTGTGAATAAACTGTACAGAATTGCTATTAAAACGGGAAAATTGCTTTTCCCCGCTGCCCTTTCTTCATTCTTCTCAACAGCTTTGTACAGCACGACTGATGTGGTCAATGTGAAAAACATTTCTCAACAATTCCATTTCAGCCTAAAGAGTTTACAGACATCAAACTAGACACACGACAGTTTTATCACATTTACACGCTTGCACGTGCATTTTAAAACATGCTCTTCCTGTTCACTCATCCACAAACTCATACATGCAAAATGTGTTACAGTATCTCTTTCACTCAATTTACATGCACACACACACACACACACACAGATGTATACACCATATATAAATGTGACACATATACACTAGTTATTACAGTTTGAATCCAAGGCAGTCTGTGTTGGGTTTGGTTAGGGTTTGAGAATTTAGGGTAACTAGGTGATTCGGGATTGGGTGCAAGCTTGGAAAGTGGCCTTTTTTGGGTTTCATTTAGACGCAGCAGGAACAGACAAACATTTGGACCCCCCCTAGAGAACGGAAGTCCTGAGGTCTTGTGAAGAATCTGGTCCCGGTCCAGTGTTGGCCGACTCCTCTGTGGAGCCGGGCGGGAGGTCTGACATGGCTATCGCGTGCTCATCTCCTTGCTTCTCCTTTGTCGTGGCCAGGGTCGAAGCCACATCAGAGGGGTCGAGCACAGCTATCCTGACGGGAAAGGATGACAGAGGGGTTGGCAGAGATTGAACAGTTGTAATGGATGAATGAAAGAAAGAAAGGGGACAAAAAAAAAACAGGCAGAAACAACTGACACTAGCACAAATAGTGGTACAAAAAGCAGCTATTTGATACAGATGAGGATGAACTACAGGAATACAAAGATGGGCACTTTTTAATGGGTCACGTTAAGGTAAAAATTCAAACACAATTTGATGTTTTGTGTTCATAATGGCTGTCAGACTGCTGTTGAATATGCCGCTGTGAGCAAATGCTAATATTCTCACTGGAAGGTCTGTTTATTTAATGACTTCCACACCAGATGGAGAGGCTCACAAACTGTGTTGGAATAAGATACGCTGGGAGATAATGACACACCTAGGTATAAATAGATCACTTGATGCTATTGACTAATTGCAGGTGATGCTGTCCTGAGTGAAAGAATTTCAAAGTGCTGCATGTGTGTTTACGTGCCCTAGCCGACTTACCCCTCAAGGGTATCCGTGCCGCCATTTTACGTGTAATTCCACAAGCGCTCCATCTTACACCTTTATAATGATAATCTAGGATGGCTCTTCAAAGGAATTACAGCTGTTTGACCTGAACCCTGTGGGGTTTTGCATTGGGCTTAGGTCAGGTTGGTTATTTTCATATGGAATATATTAAGAAATTTCTCTCCTTCTGTTCCTGGCTTTACAGTCATGCATACCAGGCATCCATATGTTGCAAGTAGATAGTAAATACCCATACATGAAGACCTAAACAGACAGACTGTTGTTTATTAAGCTAGAGCTCAGTCAGATGGGGTCTTAAAGATGGAGGCCAGGATTTGGATTCAAAAAAGGTTATTAGTATGAAACTATCTTAGATGGGGGGCACAGTTTTCTTTATTTTTTAATTATTAACTCTGCTTAGTGGCTAGATTTTTCCAATCCTTCTACTCACCCTAAAAAACCTGCTTCCTTGCTTTACAAATGGCTGCATGCATGATGTATGGGATTACGTTTTAACAAGGAGACATGAAGTTATGCCAGTTCTGCAGCCTCAGGACTGTTCATCAGTCAGTCAGTTACATGCAGTCTTTCTGTGAGAACCTATTATTTTTCCATTGCAAATATTCTTTACCAAGTTGAATGTATTATATTCTGTATAAAAATTGCTAGCTGTTCACATCTTTAGTTCATTTCCTGGTGTTTACCTGCTGTTTGTATTACAGTCACAGACTTTTTAGAATGCATATCCTGTCAGAAAAACATCAAGCTTAAGAAAAACATTTTAGATAACAAAACATACATAATATCCAAAAGGGTTTTTTTCTTCTTCTTTTTTTTTTTTTTTATCACAACCACAGTTCATACACGCTTGCTAAGTTTACTTGCTTTTTTGCATCCCAGTATGCACAAGGAACAGCTCTTTTGTTCTTCAGATGATACTGCTGCTAAAGATGAGACTTTTAGATACTCTTCTACTTTTCTTTTTTTTTTGACAGTGATTTTAGTGATCCCCTCTTCAAATGACAGCTGGATTGTCACTGCAGCTATAAAGTCTCTTAACAAGGACACATTTCAAGATGACTCTGTTGACTGTTAAATAATTCAGCGTTGCTTTGTTATCGTCTGTGCCAGGCATGCATCCCATTTCTCTTTGTGTCTCGCACACATTCACTCGCACAAGCAACAGACATAGTCACTTTTCAGTTAGAGGTATATATTAATTCACAGGGTCCCCCCCACCCCCATAGTTTCAAATGGTTGCTCCTTGCCCATATACACCTTTGGCTTATCATTGATCCAAGCCTGATAGTCTGATTAAGGAAAGTAGCGGTATTACCCAGTAATGCCCTGAGTTCACGGGACTCACACTCTCATGTGACGCAGTGAGCAGAATTCTGAGCACGTAGCCCACAAAACAGCCAGAAGGGAATCAGCTGAGAAGCACACAACTGGTGGTTCCTATGAACCACAAGTCTGCAGGTCAATGCACAATATTTAGTCAGCTGACAAAGGGAATGTCTGACATCTGGTTAGTGTAGGTGACAAGGAGATTGATACTGTAGAAGGTAGCTTGATGGGAGCAAAAAAGAAAAAAAATCTCACTTTGAGAGGAAGTAGAGAGGGAGACGGTAAAAAAACAAAACAAAAAAAAAGCCAAGCGAGAATTACTCTTTGATCTCAGTGAGATCATGTACGGTGAGCTGCTAATGTTGATCTATAGTGAAGTCTGGTGAAGGCTGACAATGAGATGTTCATCTTCGCTGTCAGAGCAGTGTGTTTGATCGCTACCTTCAGTTTTAATTTTAATTCACTACCTACAAAAGTCATTTTTGTCTGTTCTATAAATGTTATTTGTATAAACATATACAGGACACATAAAGACAAATGAATACAGACTTGAAAAAAAATGAGTCGAGAAAAACAGCGGAGAACGCAAGAGCTCCCATGTAAAAGGGCCAACTTGAATGCTTTAAGAGGCATTAAAACGCTGTGATGTGCCTTCTTATGTGACTTCACATTCAGCAGATTTCAACCCAAGCGAACGCCTCTGGAAGATTTTAGGCTAATATGTTAAACGTGTTAGATGTATTAGATGAAACTCCAAGTACAAAAGGAGGAAATATCTTTTGGAAGAATGGTGTACATCCCTCCAGTCAAGTTCTGAGGATGTGGAAAATGTATTCCGAAGAGCTTCGAAGCCATTCTGGAGGATCTTTATGACTCTGTATGTACGTATCTCTGGCGCCGTTATAGATATCGGTGAAGTGTGAACATACTGTTGAGTGTCTCCATTGCCTGCGGGCAGTGTGTCGTCACTGCAGTCACCTCCTGTGGCTGCTTCTGGTTCAACACACCCTTCCTCACATGCCCGCTGTAGGGCTGGGGTACTGCACACACACACACACACACACACACATATAAACAATATCTCTTTATCACCGTTATTACTGTTGTTTCTTACTGTTGCCTTTCTACAAATTAACTACATGTTGCATTGAGCCGAGCGGAGAAATAATAAAAAAGTAGTACAGCTGTATTACTGAAGAAAAAAAAACAAAAACCATACACTCTTTTGTGAACAGAGGGGGGAAGTACTGACCCAATACTGAGCACAGTCTCCTCATTTCATCATCTATCAGTCTTGAAATGTTAGCTGCAGCTCGGGCAACATCGAAAGCAATCATGTACCAGCACTGCTGTGAGTCCCATCTGTGATTGTAGCGCTGTTGGTGATGCAGCTAGCAATCAGATGGCTTATTTTGGCTATTAGAGAGGAAGCACTGCGATGCGATATTTTGATTTTCATTCATAATTTTTTTTTTTTTTTAATTTAAAATACTTTATGAAGACTGAACTACAGAAATATTAGAGTTGTAAAGAACATCTACTTTGATTTGAGGCTGCTGGATGCACAATGCGGTTCAGCCTTTTTCAAATTATAATGTCATAATGGATGGCTGGCAACAAGAAATAACGCTGGCTATGAGTTGAACAGTAAGAAGCAAAGCAGATTTGAGCTGTACTTTGAGTACACCAGCAAATACGGGCCTATTAGACAACTTTTTTTTTGAGTGTTCCTGGAGATTAAGTGCACAGAAAATGGTGCAACTTACCTGTTTTTGTTGCGACATTTGAGGATATAGATAATGATGACAACAGTCTCCAAAACCAAGAAGACTGCAGCGGAAATAGCCCCAATCTTCCATGTCTCCAGGCTCAGCTCATTTGTCTCTAAACAGATATAATAAGGCAGAGGAGATAGCGGTGGGGAAAAAAAGGAGGCAAGAAAAGGAAGAGGGAAAAAAAATTACCCATCAAAAAACAAGAAATTTGATGCACTACAATTTGCCACAGCGGAATTGACTGTCCCTCAAATGCAAAAGAATACCGTGTTTTTTGGCCCCGCTATGTCATTTCACACAATGTACCAGCGGTTTTAAATTACACCAGCTGAAATGGGCATGTGTGTGAGGCAACGGGGCACAGTAAGAGTATGAAGTAAACATTTTTCATCCATATTCGTGAGGCAGGAAACAGCGTGTTATATTTTGACTTTCCTCACCAGTTAGAGTGGATAGTTATCCTGCTCCCATACTTAGTCAAATGGAACAACATCAACTCGGCCATCTGCATATTTAGTTGGCAGAACCATGATAATGATCTGTTTTCTTCATCATTTTGCCCAAGTTTTAAGCTTCAAAAAAGATCGCTGTTAATTATCCCCCAAACCACTAATAGCTGAAGACTGGTTTTTAAAATTGCTTGAGAACCACAATAAATGTTCTTTGTATTTGGTAAAAAGTTTGATTCCGTACACATGCTGCTGCAGGAAGAGTGCTGAAACACACAGTCGACTGTAATATATTGTTTTGTTGCTTTATTACATTTTACCTGTGGTTGCAGATGTATCTTCCACCAGCTCATTGGCTTCTCCTGGTTCATCTCCTTCAGCCTCAGGGTGCTCACCTACAACACCATTCACCAAATTATCCAGTGTAGGTTGAGCCACAGCGGGCTCCTGTGGCAAAAGGTCATCGGTGGTGATGATTTTATTGCCATGGTTCGGCTTCTCGTCATCGGGGGTATTTTCTCCTGTTTCCGCCTCACTGAGGGATGAGTTCGGGGTGGGAGCCTGGTTCTCGGGGCTCTGCTCTATGGAGGCTTCAGCACCGTCCTCAGGCTCCGGGCCAGAGATCACCAGCACTTCTAGAAGAGAGGTTTGGTATGTGACACACACATGAAAATGAAGCCAAGAGGCCAAGGTTTAAGGTTTGTCAAGTAGACATACGGAATGTAGAATAATGCGTAGATGTGCTGCAGCTGAGAGCGACCTCATAGTATCACTTGCAGTGTAGAAGGTGTTACAGTGTGTTGGCGTTTGCATGAACAATGGATGGAAAACATTGAGAAGTCTACTCTCTGCCATAATCTTGTTCTAAAACAACAAGAGCAGTGTGTGTGAAATGTTGTGTATTTACAGTATCTTAGGTTTTTGTTTTTTGACTGGTCGCTAAGGTATTGTAAAGTGTATTAAATGAGCTTATAATCTTAATTTAAGACCTTTCCTTTCTCAAAGTAGGTTAAGATGCAAACAATGCAATGCTTAACCAAAGCTGCTGAGTCGAATGTAAGTGAATTTTGTTAAAGACAAATACCATTGCAGTTTTAGGCTTTTGTGACCCAGATTATGAGCTGGGTTTACATATTCAACATTCCAGATGGAAATGGATGAACTAAAAGTTAAGTGAATTAGGCAGCTAAATGTGAAGCAATTTGTCTAGAGGATTTGGATTTGTTGGGATGGTTCAGGCTTTAGACGTCAGTTCTACATCCAACGGGGCATGGTGCCATTATTAGACGACCACACTGAAGCCTAATTTCATGTGTTAGGTTTCCTTTCCATTTCAAAGCATATTTTCTTACAGTTTTGCAACTCCACCTGGAGTTGGAGCTTCCCATATCTCACCTTCATCCTCCTTTTCACTGCCATTTGACGTCTCCAAAAGAATCTGCTCCTCCTCTCCAGCTTTTTGATCGCCTTCCTCATTCAGCAATGCCACTGATTCCTCCTTGATTACAATCTCTCCTTCTACTTCATCTCCTGTCACTTTCCCCACATCTGTACCTTCAGCTTCTTCCTCTTCTGCAGTTCCTCCCTCCACTAAATGGCCATCTTCTACTTCTGGCCCCTCAGCATCCTTCACTATGTTTTCCTCCTCCTCCTCCTCCTCTTCTGGTTCTCCTACTACAGTTTGTGTGCTTTCTAGTTCATAATTATCAGAAGGCACTACTATCTCCTCACCTTCTGTTTCATCCACCTGAGTTACTTCCCCCAGAGCCTCTTCTCCCACACCATCATGCCCTCTCTGCTCCATATCGGCCTCTCCCAGGCGAGGTTCAGACTCTTCCACAGTCTCCTGATCTGGCTGTCCAATTACTGCCACCTCCACAACAGCTGGGGTTTCCCCTGCCTCCTGTAATTCTGCTTCAGCTACTCCTTTTTCTTCTGACAACACAACCTGTTCCTCACTGTCCTCCTCCCCTGCCTCCTCTATAGCGAAATCCCCTTCCGTCTTTTCTACAGCAGCCACAGCTCCCTCCAAACCCTCCTCACCAAGTTCAGTTCCTAGCGGCTCATCGATAACCTCCACACTCTCTGTTTCTCCAGCTCCAGTTTCTACAGCTGCTGTGGTCTTCTCCATAGATCCGGCTGCTGTTTCACCCTCCCCCTCGACAACTCCTTTCCCTTCCTCAGCCACATCTTCGAGTACATCCATCTCTGCTACCTCCTGCTTCTCTTCCACACCAGTATCCTTCTCCTCCTCGACACCCATATTCTCATTCTCTGCTACCTCTTCCTCCAGCACTTCTGCCTCAGCTTCACCGTCTTTTGTTTCTGTCCCCAGCGCATCCTCCTCAACTGCTTCCTGCACTGCATCAGTTTTTGCTTCACTCCCTCCTTCCGCCTGTCCCAGAGCTGCCTCCACCACCCTCTCCAGAAGCTCCTTCAGCACTTCCTCTGCCCCACGACCCTCCACCTGCTCCGATGCCTCCTGTACGGCCTGCTGCACCTCCTTCAGGCTAGGAGGGGACACTACTGGCACCACTTCTGCGGGGGGTAATTCAGGGTCCTGGGGTAAGCTCTGGCCATCTTGGTGGGTGACCATAGTGGAGGAGTGGATGGAGGTAGACAGATCTAAGGAGATAGCATCAAACATTTTGGGCATTTTGTTGCAGCTGTAAACACCCAACAAACCTGATACTTGGTATAATTGAGGGTGTGAGGTGTGTGTGTTGTATTGATGCTAATGATGAAGGGATGTTGATGATTAAACACGTTTAAAGATTGTATTTATACAATGTTTGATTGTATTTTTATTATAAAATGTGCAAATCATAAAAAAAAGAAATGCAGTGACCCTACCAAAGCTTGATTTCCATCATTTGCATACCTTTATTCACTTATATACGCATCAATTCAAAATACAATATGTCAGATTGTGTGTGGGTTGGAATCAATGTGCAGGTGTTACTCTTTTCATTAGAATACAAATATATTATCACATACATAATCACTGATTTGCATAATGCCACCGTACCTTCAGATTTGCAGTGTTGTATCAGCAAAACCAACAGGAATCCTTTCAAAGTGCTGTACTCCATCTTGTCAGAGAAAACATGAAAAATTATACTCCCAGTTTCTCCTGAGAAAACGCTCTGTACTTCCTTTCTTTCCTAAATATCTTGCTCGAAGTGCGACTGCGTAGCCCACTGCGAGACATACACTGAGTGTGTAGACTCCGGACAGTCAGACAGTAAATTGGGCCTGTCCAAGGGAGGGTGATGTTAGCAGGTGACGGAGAAATGAGGGAGGGTGAAAAACCAAACATTGCCATGTTAAATATTGACACCCTGAGGTTTCTTCGTACCACCAGGTGTCTCTACGATGTCCTTACATAAAGTAGCACGTCGGTGTTAAATGCTTCTGAGACTCTTACAAGGGCTATGGTGAAGCATGGGCGGCATGTCACACACACAGTGAACTCTGGTGGAGCAATTATAGGTGGGCTGTGAGTTTGGGGTGTGAGTGATGCTACCATTAGGACCTGACATAGAGCTAGAGGAAGTAGACCTGAGCGTGGCTCAAAAAGCCTGAAAGTAGTGGTTCTACATAATATCACAATGCATCTGACAAGAAGCGGACACTTGAGTTGGTTCATAAAGAAGAAAGGAAGTGACTCCCTGGTGTGTGGGTTACAGGTGCTTTTATTCATGATATGAGACCTTTCTTTCCGCCTCTGCGCCCACTTCTATGTCACCAGTCTTATGTGCACCGCTAGAATTAGAACAGCACAGCGATGCCTCATGGTTTCCTGCTGTAAGGTTATCTAACAAAACTACGATCACGTTATGTAATACAAAGAATGTTTACATGGACGTCTAGCATGTTCGTGTTTGGTGTCAGGATGACAGGGATTGCGTAGGAATACAAGGAAATTGGAGGCAGGTGTTGCTTTAATTGGGATCCTTCTGTAAATGTACAGTTTACAGCCGTGGTGTATGGCTGGAGGCGATGAAAAATCCCTCAGGTGTGTTTTTTTTTTCTGCTGCAGTTTATTTATATTCATATCCAGGTTAGCATCATTGAGACATCCCGGGTGTACAAAACAACCACTTGGACTGAAGTGTTTAAATTTTCTCTGTGGATGCAGCCAAGAATAGGCTGGAGCATCTCTGTGTGCATTGCAGATATCAGGGGCCTGGGTGATACTGCATAGATTTTTGTTATGTTTGCTTCATAACGCCAAAAATGTCACCATCAGGCTGTTAGTTGTGTGATCTAGACTAAAATATCTCAAGAGCTACTGGATGGATTGACATGAAATTTTGTTTTTCTATCCGTGGTCACTTTTGTGGTAGGTCACGGATCAAAAAGTTCAGTGGAAACATCTAAAGGCTAGATTGGCACAGATGTTCATGATTTCCAGATATTGCCATGTATCCTCATGATTTTGGTGATCCCTAACTTTCTTTATTACAATGTAGAGATTTACATTTTAGGCCTTGAATGAACAACCACCTAACAAGGTGAGTAAACAACTAATTTGACAGACCATGGATTTTTGTTAGATCATTCATATTCCACTCTGAATGAATTGTAAATACTTTGTTGACTCCTTTTCTTTATCACAACAAAGTCAGAGTTGATTAATTTAAAAACTTTGATTCTTAACCAAAACAAATCAGCAGCAAATTACATTCCCATAAACGATGATGGTGAACCTACCAAACATCACAATTTTAATGTTGTCTTTCTAAGCATTTTGACTTTAATATTTAGCTCAATGTATCTATGTGTTTAACTACTAAAGTGTCAAAACTGTAATATCAGGTTAGTTTAAAACTGAGGATGCTTCTTCAGCAAAGAGAAATCTGTGTTGCTGAAATTCCACCAGTTAACTGCACCAGAGGATGAAAAATTCCTAATTAAGATTTCCTTGTTATAACCAGCCAAGTCAAGTGAACAAGATTCGAATCATAACATGACTAATTTTTGCACCATCAGTCTTTACGCTTCTAATTCAACTGCTTAATTCTAATACAACAATTGACTGTCATGCTAAATGCTCGTTACTGTCAACTGCGGTAACATGAATGGAGCCATTTATACTAAAGACAAATAGCTCTATTCATTCATGTCCAGGTCTGCTAGAAACGAAGATTGAGGCTGAAGTGGTTGAGCGTAAAATGAGTGGAGTTATCGAGCAAATTAAATGTTACAGGGATGCCTGTTTGAAACATGAAATTCTCATCTTCTTTTACTCCAGATAAAGACATCAATTCGCCCCAGATATTTGTCTATCTTTCTGCCTTTCGCTGCTCCACCCTCCCTTTTGAGAAAAGTGGTATGCCTTTGATAGATCATACCCCGGCTGCCCTGTGATCTGCCCAATAATAGTGGCCCCTCTGGGAAGCTTTACTGTATCTCGCCTTTCAATGAAATCAGCTGATTCTGACCAAAGGCTTCATTGATTCTCATGCTAAAAGACCAGCGTGACAAAACTATAAACCCCTGTCATGAAACCAGTGAGACTCATTGAACCAGCAGCTTATTTTCTTGCTGGCTCCTCAGCAGGAGCACTAACAGTGTGCTCTGAGCTATGAAACCAAGCATGGAAATGATAAAGACTTTTTCACTGTCAGTGTTGGTATAAGAACATGTCAGTATTATTCTCTGTGGTCTTTGTGTTGCTTTTGAAGCCACATGGGGTGCAGCACAGTGATCTCTGCTTCAGTTCGATTTACTTGACAATTCAGTGCCAAATCTGCACTTCTGCATATCAAGAGCCTCTGTTTTCTGTGTCAAAACAAACCACAGATAGAAAACTGAGACTTGGGAGCTTCAGAGGAGCAACAAAACATATCTGAACTGTTTTCTTCTCTGCTTACTTTCTTGCATGCTTTTGAATTCTCTCTAACTTGCAAATTGTGATCTCTCTCTGTTCCTCTCATTCGTGACTGCAGGAGATTAGGTCTGAAAGGTTAATACAGTCACATGAGCTTCACATTGTGCTTTGTGCTACCAGGCAGTAGCACTTCATACTTGGCTTGTGACTGGGCTGGAGAGGGGGATTATCACAAAAAGATACATACTGTATTTTGTGCTATAATAATGCACACACATATGTCAACGCTTACAGTCACACATGAACCCAGTCACTCTTACACACAATGTGTAGTATTGAAAAACTGAATTATTGTTTCCTACAAAAACCTACGTGAAGCCTAATTGCATGTTACCTTGTAATGTGTAACTTTGATCTGATGCAGAACAAAGCCTCTTATAAATACACGCTTTCTAAAGATAAAAGGGAGCAAAATAAAAAATGAAATCATATATATCTGAATACAATTAGTGACCTATAAACATCATTCTCTCTCTAAATAATGGGTTTCCACAAAGGGGTTCCAATAAGCCATATTATATGTTTTTCAAATGACCTAACCAAAGTTACCTTTGCGAAAGTTAAAAAAGCTGTACAGCGTGTAGCTTGTGGAGCTGGTCTATGTTTAGGGCTGGGAGGAGCTGCACCTTGTGCAGTGCTGTGAGGCCATAGGAGTTGCTGTCTGTATTTCACATGTCAATGTTGGAATTTCAGATGTGCTCTCCATGAAAAGAGGGCGGTGGAGGTGACTAACCAACATTAACCTCAACCCTGGCTGTACTCACCAGCGTTACCTACTTATCAGCACCAGAAATACTGTTCATGGCACATGGTCACTTTAAACACTTGCATTGACACATAGGTAGTTTAAAGTAACTCTAGGTTGGTGGTTTGGACAAAAGAAAAAAAAAAGTGTTTTTATCCCATTAACATAACACTTTGTATAAATCAGATGATTTTTTTTCTTTCTCTTTTTTTTTTTTCATTAATCTTGGCGGCAGACTTGTTGATGTAAAGCACCAGCATAATTCAGACCTACATTTTTAGATTTGTACTTTAAGTCTAACTTGTAAGGAAAACTAATAGCACAAGTAATGAGGTGCACATGCAGACTTGTTAATGAGCTTCATCTACAGACAAGGAAAGTAATCACTTCTGCCGTTTTTGACACATGTGCCACCTGCAGGCAACTGGTGATCAACTGCATTTTTATGTATCTGTGCTGGTGACAGACGTGGCCCGAGGCATTTTTCAGGGGGGCTGTCCACCCATCCGTACATCCATCTGTCCGTCTCGCTCTCGTAAAAGTGATATCTCTGAAAACCTTGTGGGATTTTCCGCAAATCTGACACAAATGTTCACTTGGACTCCAGGATGAAGGGATTAGATTCTGGCAGTCAAAGGTTACTGGAATCTCACAAAACACATTAACAATCATAATTCAATAACTCACACACCAGTTATGACTAAACCTTTTCACAAATGTCTCATAGGAGAAAATAATAAAGGGATGGCATTTTATATCCAAAAGGTCAAAGGTCACTTCAGTGTGTCATCATAATTTCCTGCAAAAACACATTAGTAACCATTATTCAATGCCTTAACTGAAGAATATAGGGAGAGATGGTAAACAGCAACTTTGCATGTTGGTAGTAATTGTAGTCGTTCGTATGTCAGCCTATTGTGTGCATGCTTGTAAATATTTTATTGCATTATTACTGTCGCAAGCAAAAGCATGTATCGGTGAGGGACATGGAAACACATAGAGCTGTATAGCACTCAGTCGCTCATCTACAG